GTGGCTCTTGCTCTGCTTGATTCTCATTTTGGCTGGTCCCACGGCTGTGGTCAATCTTCCGGCTCGAGGTTTCCATTGGTTTTCCAGCCAGAGAGAATGCGGATCGACACTGCATCCGGCTCTGGTCCTGGTCCGAGTTCTGCTTCCCGACCAGGGCCACCTGAGCCCGGACTGCTTTACGCCACCGGACAAAAAGAGTCGTCACTGCTGCCGTTCTGTAGTGTTTACCGCTACTGTACGCGCACTTGCCTTTTTGGCGTTTAAGGAAACGGACTGTGCGCTCTGAACGGTACCGTGCTTGAACGGATGTGTTTGGTAGTGCACGCAACGGACCCCCCGCCGAAGCCACCCGGTTCGAGCGGGGATCCGTTTCCGCAGTGTTTCTGTACCCGCCACCATCCCCTTCCGTCCGCCCTCCCATTCTTCTCTGGCTCCCCTGGATTTGGGGATGGTTTTCCAGCCAGAGAGAATGCGGATCGACACTGCATCCGGCTCTGGTCCTGGTCCGAGTTCTGCTTCCCGACCAGGGCCACCTGAGCCCGGACTGCTTTACGCCACCGGACAAAAAGAGTCGTCACTGCTGCCGTTCTGTAGTGTTTACCGCTACTGTACGCGCACTTGCCTTTTTGGCGTTTTAAGGAAACGGACTGTGCGCTCTGAACATATAGATATACAGGCATAGACATAAAGATACTTAGATACATGGACATACAGATGTGTGTTTATGCAAGTATATATGCCTATATATATATATATATATATATATACATCGACATGCTCGTTTGTAGGGTTGGATCCGCGGGGGCTGGATCAGTGGGCTTGGCAAAAACCAAAGTTATCAAAATCAGAAGTCAACCTGAAGAAAGTTGAAAAATACATGAAAAGATATAGTATTACTTCTGTCCAAGCCGGTGTGTTCAACTAAGCAACCGGTGACCCCTTGCACCGACATTGGCACGATTGGCAACAAGGAATGTCCAAGCCTGTGTTCAACGAAGCAACCGGTGACCCCTTGCACCGACATTGGCACGATTGACAACAAGGAATGTCCAAGCCTGGGTTCAACGAAGCAACCGGTGACCCCTTGCACCGACATTGGCACGATTGACAACAAGGAATGTCCAAGCCGGCGCTGTTACTATTGCACGTGTTGTGCCATGCCACTGACCCCTTGCACCGACATGGGCACATCGGGCAAGGTCGCAGTGGATGGCATCATTATTGTTTCCTCACACTGCTCAGAACAACCTGTCAACTTAAACAGGTTGCTGCAAGGTTGAGGAAATCTTGAGCCAGCATGGCATTGCTTGGCAAGGTTGACGATTCGATTTGAGGAAATCTTGACTACCTCTCCAGCCAGAAGTACAATTGACAACAAGGAATCCTCCTCAAGTGTGTTCACTGAATTGAAAGAGCCACATCAATTCTGTTCCTCAAAGTTTGTTCACTGAGACAGCCACATCGACATAAGGCTGCAAGCAAATCAGACTTGTGTCTCAATTGTTGGTACATAGATATATGAAGATGTACATATATGTATATATATATATATATATATGTATGTCGACATGGAGACATATATTTATGTATGTAGATGTATAGGTATCCAGATACACAGGTATATAGGTACATAGAAACATTTGATGCGTAGGTGTGCATATTGAAATCAGATAGAGAGCATTCACCAAACGACGACTTCCCGTGGAAACATACCGCACTTCTGAAAATAGCGGGTTGCAAAAACGCAGGCTCCACAGCCTCTTCTGGCTTATAAATGTGTAGACATCTAGGCATATAGGTATAAGTTCATATATAGATATATATATATATATATATATCGTTGACTGGATATATAGGTAAATGGGTGTATAGATATGTAAATCTTCAGATATAGATCCATAGATATAGACCGATTATACACAGTTGTGGCCTAGGCAGAATCGATCCGCGCTGGTCCAGTAACCGTCAGCAAGAGTTTGCTCAAAGGACGCGCATCAAGGTTTGTTCATACTTGTGTTGCCAACAAAGCGGGGCAGCCCCAAGGAGGCAACAGCCAGTTTTCTGGGTGCTCACCTTAGCACCGGAGCTCTGAGAGACGGGACATTTGTTACCGGCAAGTTCCAATGCCAGAGGCTGGCGCCCAACATGGATCGGCCCGTACAGCTTTCCAGCTTCGCCAACAGCTTCCTTCCTATCCACATGCTGCCCATCATGCCACCGCGCTAGGGTCACAGATTGTGGCTTTTCCACAGCAGTCGGATTCACCTGTGTTGATTTCGGGCAGGAGGCGGATTTTCCTCCGTCACAACACGAACAGCAGCCGGCAGCTCTTGCGAAGCCGTGATCAGACAGCGCACCCTTGGCAGAGCTTTTTTACTTGTGCACACCTGACCAAGGCGATTGATGCTTCAGGCACAAAGATTGTTACATGCTCTCAGCCAAGGCAGGAGCCCGTGCGGTCGTCATTTTAGGAACAAGCACATCTCGACATGACTCGACATGTTGTCTGCTGGGACATGTAGCAAAGATTCTGTGCAACCGTTGTGCAGGGTTGGATGCTTGCAGATCCGGTATTTCAAGAACTGGGATGCATCCGTCTCCCTGATCAGCAAGATTGAAGGAGGTGTTGTGGCGGCATCAGACACATGTCGGACGTGGAACATGAATCCTAGGGTCCTAGACAAGCAGCATGCATGCAAAGGCTATACGGTGCCAATGCAAGTTCCAGCAAGCTGGGGCGTGGTTCCAAGTTCCAATTCGTGCTACCGTAGTCTCCCAGGCAGGTTGCGTTTGCTTCAGAGATCCTAGTGGGCTGGCAGACGAGGCTGTTCTACGAGCTCGTTTGATGCCTTGCCGTTGCCTCATGCATCGGTGTGAAGCAAGAAAATTGCTCAGACTCAGTAGCAGGAGCGCTGGTTCCATGAGCCTGGCAAGCTTTAGTGCTCAGCTTGAAGATGCGAATACTGTGCTGCACTCAGAACAAACGGATTGAAAGATCTAAAACTGATGAAGTCATTCCATCCAGACGCGCACCTGGTTCCTGCGCGTCCTGGGCCTCGTCTTCACGTGGTTGACGGTGTCGACCTGGCCTTCCGTTTTTGTCGACGAAGATAAAGACAGCTTGTATTCAGCTCATTCTCGTCTGTCTTGCGCTGCCAGGTATTGCTGCTTTCAGCCGCAGTCTTGGCAAGGAAATGTCAGCCAAGCTCGTCTTGCTCATCAGCTTCGACATGTCGTGCACGTAGCTGAGGCCAATAGCCGCCGCTGCAGACATTGTAGGTGATTGCCTGCTCCTTGGAAACCAGTGATTCTTCCTGTGCCATCGGCCATTGGTTGCAGGTCTTGCATATATCCCATGCGTTGGGGAGTTCATGGAGGATTTGCTGGAAGGCACGATGCTACACTGCTGAATGAAGAAGCCGTAGCCATTTGGCGGTCTGCACTTTTCCAATGCCTTACAGAGCATATGCGCGTTGTGCAGTTCGTCTTATGGCCGCATTGATGGGTCAGGTATGGTCGACACCCTTCTTTGCATGGTGTCCTGCGGTGTTGGCTGCTCGTGTGGGCTGCTCGTGATCGGCATCGTGTGGCTCTTCATGAGACCTTTGCCTGGCCGGCACTGTCTTAGACAAAGAAAAACAATGCTGAATCGAACTTCCACTTGTGCCAGGATTGGTGGCGGTCTGCTGCTAGTTTGTGTGGTGCTGGGAATTTGCGCTTTTGCGGTGGCACATCAGCACAAGGCCACATTCCGTTTTGCACAAATCGCCATGATCGCATTTCTGACAGACAGGCAAACAAAGACATCAACGACCAGTCAGTCCAACTCAAAGAGATGTATGACAATGACTCACCCTGACAACACAGACGGCCCTAAAACCGGGGGCACAAGTCTGTGACAGAAGGCTTTCTTTTATCGCAGCTGCGAGCGGCTGTATAATCGATCCAATTCGACAGGTCCGACCTTTAAAGACTCGTCTGAGAGCGTGCCAGCTCAACACGGAAAAAAGTAGGCTTCCCGCAGTGTCGCGCCGAATCTGAGCAAGGTTTTTCGTCGGACAAGTCCCTCTCAGGTAGTGTTGAGTTGGACATGTAAGCAGTGCATTGCTGCAAGCGAAGATTTTAAAGAGCATGCACACTTGGCCGGCCCTGCAGTTTCCGTGCTCACACGTGATCTTGTCAGATTCAAGTGATAGAGTGATAAAGTCCCTCTCCACGGCAAGAAGTTACTGGCCTGCACTTGGTGCTTGTGTTTCGGGTTTCTGCCACGTGCTCGGTGATCCCAGCCTTGTAGATGAAAGGTGCCTGCGCTGGAGGTATTGCCAATCTCAATCCTTCGCCATTCTGCATGCATGTGCAAACTGCAGAAGAGCCAGAAGCAACGGCGAGCAGAATGTCACCACTAGCTTTAAGGAAGCAGGGCCGTGGCTGTGGACGTAAGACTTGTCTAAAGGCGATTTGTGTAAGCTGGGCCGCAGCGACTCGCTCAGGCGTGCGAGTGCGGAAGGCCAACTCTCGGATCTCGGATCATCTGAGATCTCTGTCACATGTCGCACGTGTCGCATGTGTCGCTATGCCGTCTCAAGATGATCCTTGACCTCAGGCAGACCAGTGAAAGATGGACGACCAAGGAGGCTGTCGTGCACTCTCAAAGTACAGCATTTGGACACATGTCGTCTTCAGGGTCGTGTGATGTGTAGGAGAACACAGGTGCGTCGTGAGTGGGTCAAAGCTTATGCAACCGCAGACTTACAGGTGATGGCAAACTGTGAGTTTTCATTCTAGTTGATAGTGAGGGGTACTTGGGAGCAGACTATCGATCCTTCTCATGCGCATGCCAGGTGGGCCTTCCTTGATGGCCAAGATGTCGGAATTGCTTGCCTGTTTGGCTCTTTGCCACCACCTTGCAGAAACACAGTGCGAGGTAGCCAGCTGACTGTTTCACTACTTAGAAGTTATGCAGCAAACCGTGCGACTGTTGCCAGGGCTCCTTCAGCACAATGTGTCTCGGCATGGCCCTGTTCCCATGCGCACTCCTCCTTATCGGGTGCCGCGGGGTTGGCCTTTGTGCGGGATTGCGTGGCATGACGGAGTTTTGGACGTGTCTTGGGCATCTGGGCATCGTGCAGGTACAACGAGAAGAGCTACATGTGCGTTCACAAGAACATCTTGTATGCATCTAAACGAGCCGAGGCAACTTGTCGATTACATGCCCAGAGCGGGCAACTACACTTCGCAGATTCAGTGAGATCTGTCGAGGTCTTGAACTGCGATGCCCAACCGCACTGGATGCCGGCATGAGCCCCAGAAGTCATTCTGGGTCATCTTCTACACACGATGCAACCAGGACATGGTCGCGTACGTGTCCTGTCCCATCAAAGAGGCTGGAGACCAGCGCCGACATTCTCTCATGACTCATGATGCACTACTTCGGATCTGCGATCTCTGCGACCTGTGTACAGGAGAGTCTCATGCAATTCACCCCAGCATCATTTGGCTCGGCATCCCTGGGGAGTTCCATCCAGTTCAGGCGGACTTGCCTTTGGCCTTGTCAGGCTCCGCGTTTTCCCGAGTTTCTCATGACAGGTCAGTCGCTGGAGCACAGAAAGCCGAGATGTTTCAGTGCGTAGCTCTGGCATGGTTGCTCACAGCCTCAGCTGCGGTAAGACCATAAACAGCTACAGTTACAGCCGTGCTCCATCTGCCCAGAAATTTCGCTTCAGATGCAGCCGTTGAGCAAGCCAGCAAGCCCGCCCTAATCCCATTCTTACTGCAAGGAACTGTTGCGAATCTTTGCCTCCTGCTTGTCTGCTTGTGTTCTCAGGATAATATGTGGCTTCTTTCTTTCAGGTGGAGTCGGTCAGAACTGAGACCCAGAAGGACAAGACGAAGATCAAGGCATGAAATCCGATGTGGCCAGGGCAGCAAAACCTGCTGAGTCTGCAAGATCTACAGCTATCACATGGAGTGGCGAGATTCCTACGTTGACTCCAGCACGTTTTCGCAAATGCACACCCGACATGTTTGTGCCTTTCCTTTGTTTTCACCGCTGCTGCCGCAACTCTCCTTCCTTCCGACTGGCGAGGCACCAAGCCCATCTGGCGAGACAGCATGGTTGTCCGGGCTTCTTAAGTGCCCGCCTCAAGCAAAGTATTGAAGACGCGTGATGAAAGGATGTCCCATTGCCGAGGCAACCCTCCGTGGCCACACGACGTTCCTCAACGTGTGCAGACTGCCGCAGCTGGGATCCCCGGTGGTCTTCTGCACCCACGACCACTTGCCGAGAAGCAACAGCGATATGGCGTTGCGAGGCACACTCGGTCCAGGTGGGACCACTGGCCGTGGGCAAAGACCTCATCCAAGGCGCAAGTCCGTGGCGATCATGTCAAGACTCATTTTTTAAAGTCCTCCAGCCTCTCCCAACTGCGTACTTGCTCCCAATCTCCGGAGCTGAGCCTCCAATCCATGTCAGAGTGGCTTGCGAGACCTAGCCGTCCCTGTCCTCTGCAGACTTCAGGCGGCGGATCTGGCTATGGTGGGCGTGAAGCTTACTGTTTTGCTTATGGTTTTCTCCCATGCCTCGCGCCCTTCGACTTTCGCAGGATGCATGCAGATATGAGCAACCCCATTTCGTTGCACAGCTTTGCGCACAAGTTCAAAGCTGCACACACTTTGGCAGGTCTGTGGCTCAGCAGGTGTATGTGTGTGTGTGTGTAGCACGGTCGTGGACATGAGTCGAGGCCCGCCGGCACATGGGTTCGCATCCATCACACCGCACAACACGGCCACTTCGATTGCATGTGCTGCAGCCGCCATTGTCGGCATCATCGCCATTGCGTGCGCAAGGCCATTGGTCCCACGGGATCCTATGTCGTCACGTGCAGTGTCCAGAGGCGGGGAGCCGGCTTCCAGCTTACGCCGAGCAGCCGAGCCGAGCTTTGCTGTGCTGTTTTGCCAGGTTTGGCTGCATGCGTCTCAGCTACTACAAAAACTGGGACACGGGAGCATCTGTCATCAGTGCTGTGCAAGGAGGCCGCGGATTGCCGGGATCGAGCGCAGATCAAGTACGCTGTTGTGCGTACCGGGAGGTCAAAGTACGCCGATTAACATCCCAGCCAGCTGGGGCCTGCTGCTCATACTGTTTCTAGGGATGCGCTTTGGACAAGTTATCATATTCCGAAGCGCCAAGATGCTTTTCTGCAAGTTCTCCGACCCCTACACGCATGTCTGAGAGGAAGCTACATGATGCTATTCATCATTATTCATCGTATTTAAGGTGTGAGCCAGAGCTGCATGTCAGTCGTGGGGTGTCGGATCGGATGCCTTTCGACCCTCGTCCGTGTTCCAGACAAAGTGCTGTTCGTTTGATCCCTTCGCTCGGCTCCCTCGGCCCGCCCTCGGCTCCACTCTCCTCAAACCCATGCGCGCGCGCCTCCCCCTCCGGTCCCCTCCGAGGCTGCTCCGCGGACCAGTACGATGCCTTGCCGAAGCCTCGGGGGGCCTCGGCCAAACGGAGCGAAGCAGCGAAGCAGAGCGAAGCGGCTTGGAACGTCGAGAGCGGCTAGCGGCTAGCCCCTATTTTGCTAAGGGTGGGAGGAGTGCAATCTCTGTCAGCTTTCGAGACTTCCCTTGAAGAGGCCAATACCGCAAGAGACTCAGAGACTCAGAGCATTGTGTTTATCCCTTGGCCGCTTTACCGCTGTCCCACTAAGTCGACCACCTGGATGCTGCGATTCGTGGGCCTCTGCTTTGCTTGGATTACAGTGCAGCCCTGGCTGAGTTGTAACAGCGAGGCGGCTCTGGGCAACATCCTGCTCTGACAGGTGGTGCTGCTTCCAGCCCATTTCAGCTGCGGCTGATGGTGTTGGGGATTGCCTGGGCCCCAAGGGTTATAGTGGCGGTCGTGGTTCGTCGTCGTCGCAGTGATCGTCGCAGTCTTCGCACTCGTCACGGTCGTCGCGGGTTTTTTGGCTGGTGTCAGCAGCATCAAGACATAATTGGTCTGAACCTCCAAGACGGTGTTCAGACACGGTCTGGGACTAGAAGCCATCCACCATCCCGTGGCCAAATAGGGCACGTCGGTGATGGACAAACTCCCGTAAAATGCGATTGCGTTCTGCAATCGTGCGTTTGAGCTAACACGGGCTTCTTGACTTCGTACTGATGAAGGCAGTGTGGTTTTTCGTAAGACTTGTTGACGTTGTGCTTCCAGGATTGAGGCATTGGCATCTCATATGCTTGGTGCTGTGCTCTTGGCTGCGACCCTGGAGGTCTCAACTTGATTCCCTGTGTTGGCGGCTGCCTACAAGACATGCTTGAGGGCCGCGTTCTGAGATGGCATTCGCAGTCACTTCGAGAAAATGTCCCAAAACTGAGGTGTCGTGGACGCAGTGCTTTGCGTTGTGTCCTGCTGCTTCGGCTGCTCGTGCGGGCTGCTAGTCCTGGGCATCGTTTGGCTCGTCATGCGACCCCTGCCTCTCTGGCGCCGTCTTGGAGTCCACATCCAACCGCAATCGATTTGCCCTTTCCTTTGCAGCATGAGTGGTCTTTCCTGACCCTCGAGCAGTTTCCGGCCAGGATTGGCGGTGTGCTGCTGCTGATTTGCGCCGCGCTGGGTATAGGGGCCTACTTCCTGGCGAAGCAGAACAAGGGGGACAAGGACAGTGACAAGGAGAGACTCTGCAGAGAATCTTTGTGCTGGCATCTCTCTCTCTGTTTTCGACCAGGGGACGCTGCTGGCTGCAAACGGCGATGAAAATGCGTGAGGGCGACAGGTCCAGCCACTTCAAGAAGGACATGGCAGCAAATAGGGCTCGTCCTCCATGTGTCTGTAGCATGCACTGGGGAAAGCTCGACAACCGGGTGGGACCCATTTTTTCTTTGCCAAGTGTAATGTTGTACTGCTACTGAAGCTGGTGTTGACAAAGATACTTGCCTCCAAGGTGGTGGAAGCTCAAAGACGCCGAATCCACCTTTGAAGTTAGCTTGCTGCGCGAGTACATTCAAAATCCAGGGAGCAGTGTTGACTGGAGGTTGGGGCAGACAGACCAATAGGCCAGACAGGCAAGACGTAAAGAGACGGGCTGTCTCGCTTGAAGAGCCAGCCTCGGCTCTGGATCCTTCATTTTTTGCGTGTGCTGAAGGCTGAAGAGTGCTTCGATTCTGAGTTGCTGTCAGGCATGGAGCCCTCTTGACCTCTAGACTTCTAGTGTAGAATCTGTAGCAGGCGAGCTATAACATGACTCCGTACGCCGGCAAACTGCACCTCCGCTCACGGCTTCCAGCTGAGCCGAGTTCCACGCACAGACCCGGTCTATTGCCAAGTATCCCGTCATCCGTACCAGACGGGCCATATCCAGATACCCCTGGCAAATAGTGGGGAGTCATGCTGATACTTCTTCCGGAGCTTGCCAGCGGCAAGACTCAGACTCCAGATGTGCTTCAATGAGCTGCCCTGTTTGGGCGAATGCAGCGCAGCCTCAGACAGTCGCAATGCCCTCAAACAGCCCATCACAGCCTCACATAGTCCCATTCCAGCGTGGCGTCTCGGCAGGTCACAAGGCTGCAGACCGTGCGCTTCATCCGTACGTCCATTCTGCTGTTGTGCTTCCAGGCATGGTGAGTATGCAAAGTTGTTTTCGGTGACTGGTGCACCCTGCAGGCCTTCGGCGGAAGCACGGGCTCAAGCCAGTGCAACACCAGCGATGTGGACATGGATTGGCCTTTCTTCCTGTTCTGTCCAGAGGCCAAAGCTGATAAAGCTCTGACATACAAGCCATGGCATCAACATGCCACATGCCTTCTAGGTTCTGCAGTCGGGCGAGCAGTGCGAGGCCAGAGCTTACGCAGCAAAGCAGCCCTCTGCGCATTCCCAGCAAGTTGTCGTGTCGTGGCACCTGTGCGGTGCAAACCATCGGGACCATGCCTGCTTTTATGCAAGCGTGAGTTTTCTGAGAGGCAGCATGTGGGCCAGGGCTTGTGCCGTCGTTCAATGTTCACTGCCAGGACAGTAAGGGCCGTGAAGGAAGTATCAGCAATGTTTGCACGACCGAGCTGCTGGATTATTCTAGGTCGTACAGTGCAGCTCCTGCTGGAAGTGGGACAGGATCCTATTAATGAACGCTTGTTTTTGAGGAGGGAGTTCTACATCTGCCGCGATGCCTGGGCAACAATGAGACTGGTTCAGGCCTTGCTGCCGCCAGCGCAAGCATTGCCTCGTGGACACTCTGGAGCACGACTTCAACTGAAAATGCTGAAGAGTTCGTCAGAACTGGACACCCAACTAATGCCAGATTGTCCCAAAGCGCAGAAACAGCTGGTCGCAGAGCACGTACAGAGTCCTCGGGAAGCACCAGAAGAATAGCCAGCTCTGCAAGCACAGGAAACATGACAAGCAGCAGCAGTGTCACGGGGACGACGAGCCTGACGAGCACAACGAGCTCTGACACGACTGCCACATCCATCTCGACCACGACTACAACTAGCGGAAGAAGCACTTCAGTGAGCACGACAACGAGCACCAGCACATTCAGTGCCAGTTCAACCCACACAAAAACATCATCAACTAGCACGACTCCTGCGACTAGCACTGCCAGCACAAGCACCACGAGCACGGCCAGTGCAAGCCTAACCGTCACCTCGACTGCAACTGCTACAATTACAACTAGCAGTAGCACAACAGTTTCTGCATCAACGACACGGAGCATGACTAGCACATCTAGTGAGTCCATCCTAAGTTCGACATCGACATCAACATTATCATCAACATTAACCAGCACGGCTTCTACTCGTAGCCTGAGCAGGACAGCGAGCTCGAGCACGACGAGCCAAAGCAACACAAGCACAACAGTGCCTGAGACAGAGACACCAAGCAGCACATTCACATCTAGTTTAACATGGACGTCCTCTGCAGCCATCAGCACAACAAGCTCGTCAAGACAAAGCACTCTTAGCACGTCTGCTGCAAGCCTAACCACTACCAACACCACTGCCACGACCGAGAGCACCAGCACCAGCACCAGTGCCGCCACAGCCACTATCAGCAGTACCAGCAGCACCAGCAGCACAAGCAGCACAAGCAGCACCAGCAGCAACAGCAGCACCAGCAGCACCAGCAGCACCAACACCAAGAGCAGCTCCCGCAGCACCAGCACCAGCACCAGCACCAGCAGCAGCAGCAGCAGCAGCAGCAACACCACCAGCACCACCACCAGCACCTCGACCTTCAGTGCGACAGCCAGCCGAACCACTAGCAGTACCACGACAAGATCTCTCGCAGCGAGGCGAAGCAGCACTAGCACGTCTACATCAAGCCAAAGAATGGCTCCTACAGCGAGCTTGACAACACGGTCAAGTACAAGCAGCTTTGCAACTGCACCGGACACCGTGACATCGACGCTCCCTTCAACTACATCAGTGTTGTCTCTGCCGCCCGTAACCACGCGACCACGAAAGCCGACAAGATCCACTTCGACCTCGTCTTCAAGGGCCTCTACCACATCCCTATCATTATCCGACGACAACGAAACTGCCAACACGACCACCACGAGCTCAACTAGAATGACCATCATGCGAGCGTCTCAAGGTTTGGCGTTGTGGGAGGTACTTGTGCGTCTTGCTGAACGAAATCTTGACCGGCATGCTCAGTAGTGCTGCGTAGCACTCTGCAGGCATGCACTCTCGGAGCATCGTTTGGCCATGCCCTTCTCAGGCATGGATGCACGCTTGCAGACTCGCGCTTGAGTACCTGTCCCAGGCGTGGTCTGCAAGTCTTGATTCTTCGGCAGATGGTTGAATGGCAGGTACATGCTTTCGTTAGAGCGTTGCACTGCAGCCTGTCCAGAGCCTGCACCTAAGAAGAAAACTCGTGGACTCTGCTGACCACTGAACCAGTGAAGCTACACACGTAGCTGTGCAAGGTTTGTTCCGGTCGGGGTGTTCATCTGCATAGAGGGCCGAATCTTTGGGAGCTCTGGATGCTTGCAGGCGGTGGAAGGGCATGAAAGCGCTCTGGAAAGGCTTTCGCGCTCTGGCAGGCTGAAGGCAATCGGCACTGGCGAGGTCCCTTGCTGGCTGTAGCTCTTCGTGCTGGCCCAGCACTCAGTGCAGTTGGCGAAGGGCGAGGGTGCTCCATCTCTCTTCTCGGACTTTAGGCTTTCTGCGTGAAAAAACGGAGTGATGGAGTTCTAAGTCGCCAGATATTGTAACAGAAGCTTAGCCAGGTTTGCAGGTGCTTAAACCGACAGTGAAACTCCAGAAGTTTTCGTTCGGGGATGCCGGATGCTTGTGAAAACTGTTAGGGCATACGATATCCTGAGCCTTAGCGACACTTTATGTCAATCGGGATCTTCGATGCAATATGCTCCATACTGCGTGGGCCAATATGGGCTGTATGTCTTGCATATGTGTCGCTACGACGTAGTTCTTCAACTTAGGGAACCGTTTTGGGTGTCCAAAAGACCATCAAAAAGATCCGCAACGGACCATCGCAGCAGCATGGCTGAAAAGATTGTTTGTGGGACGAGCATTGACAGTAGCTCAGATGTATCGACGGCACTTCTGAGTTGGGACAGGCCTGGCTTGGACTGATCCGCCGCCTTCGCTTCAAGAAAGCTTGAGGCTGCTCATGTCGTGAGAGTCTTGTGTGACGCTTCCGTCGGTGCGGAAAAAAATTAAAAAGGGGCTCATAGTGCAGCTGGAACGCTGGAACTGGAAAGGGCCAAGGGGCCGGGACGGAGCTACAGTAAATTGGCAGAGAAGCACCCCTGCGTTTGCAATCTCAGGATTTTTGTTGAGGCTCCATAGCTCTTGGTTGGCGTCAGAACCTTCAAACTCCGGATTTGATTTCTCGGCATCCAGGCCCTCCTATTTTATCGGATTCTTGGCCTCTGTCTTTGGGTTTCCCAGTTTGCGGTTCCTTCTCGGCCTCCATATGCTTGCATCTGCAGGGAACCGGGCCAACCTCAGCAGAATCAGCAACGCCGCAATGTTCGTTTATGGGTCGTCAGTCCCCGTTCCTGTATTGTACTCGCGAACATGCCATGTGAATTGTCCTCGCCGGTAAGACGTGTCTGTTTTCATAGCTAGTCATTCTCAGCACCAAGCGCCAGGACTAACTGCAAGAACAAAACAACGACACAGAACATACCACACATCAGTCCTATCCACATTTCTTGGCTGATCCTTTTTCGAAGAAGGGCTGTTCTGCCATTGTCAAGGCAGGAGCCAAGAGGATGATCATCGGAGGGTCCCTTTCAATCCATCTATCAAGAAGCTGACCTGCGATGCAGAAACCACGCCGGACACGGCCCTCCAAGTAGTTTTTTTGCCAGTGGGAGCACTTTGAAGATCTTGGAGCGCTTCCCTGGTCGCCTCAGTCCATGCTCGCGAAATTTGCCACCCCCTGGCCTTGGCTTCACAGGCGCGCCTTGGCACTGAGCCTTGGAACACCGCCGTCCGACATCGTTCGCCTCTTCGTTGTGTCAAAGATGCCCGAAGGCTCGGGACGGCTTGCAGAGCACGTGCCGATATGTCGCATGTCCGTCCACCTTGGCAGGAGTGGATCCAGAGCAGGCTGGTGTCTAGGAAGAACAGGATCTTGCAGTTTTGGGGCTTCGTGGGTTTTATGCAGCTCCGGGATTGCTAATTCTAGATCCTTGACGTGGGGATGTGCAGGGCGTGCAGCACACTAACCGAACTGCAAGACATTCAGACCATCTTCTTTCTGCCTGTGTGTTCTCGAAGAAGCTGAGTATTTGGAGTGTCGGCCCGCGAGCTTCCTGTGATCCTGGGGCACAAGGCCAACTTTCTGTGTGTATCGAACAGAATTAGAAGTAGCTGGAGAGAGTGTGCCGGTGGCTATCCTGTCATCCCTACAGCTTCTCCGCACTTTTTCAATGATTTCGCATACTGCTGCACAAGTCATCGTCTTGAAAGTGACTGCTGCCAATCTTGGCATAACGCGGTGTGGTCTCACTCAAGTTTTTCTGGCTTTGTAGTGCAACGCTTTGTGCGCAACATCGCCGTAGATGGACAGGCAACGTCGCAAAGCGTAGAGTGGGAGATGGAGGCCAGGATTCAAGCTGCTTCCTGACTCCTGTGGACGGCGGTGTGCCGCGGTAGGTTCGACTGAGTGAGGAGCATGGTTTTCTGGAGGCGCATCTGCAGTCCTCCCCACACTCCAGAATCTAGAATCTGTTTATGGCGTTTTGGCGCGAGGTGTCTGCCAAGTTGGAAGCCATCGCAGATGTGCTGGCAGCCCTAGCACAGCTCTTTCGACTGGTGTTTGGGGGCTTTTTGATTCTCAAGTTCTGAAGGTCTAGTCTCACTGCCACGCTCTTCCGAAATGTACTGATGGTCAGCTGGCACGTTTCAAGAGTTTCGCTTCGGACTGGAACTGCAGTATCAGCGGAAGGCCCCTCCTGAACAGTCATGGGCAGGCTATGCCAGTGTGTGTGAGGGTACAGTACATTGAGAGTTCATTCTTTCAACATCTTGAATCAGCACAACCCTGACACACAAAGCCAGGGTGGTAGCTGCTGTACTCCTGCTGCTACTAATTCGAGGTGACGACGGCAACTACTGCTACTGCTATTGCTACTGCTGTTCCGGCTCCTGCCATTTCCGCTGCTGCTGCTGCTACCACGGCCGCTACTACTGCTGCTACGGCTAACTACAACTACCGCCGCCACTACTACGAGGAGGGCCAATTTTTGTCGCCATTATTTTTCTGCTTCTGCTGCCATTTTTTTTTTTTTTTGGCCCTGGGCCCTGTTACTCTGTGACTCTCATACTCTTATACTCTATTACTCTATGACTTTATTACCCTATTACCCTATGACTCTATTACTCTCTTACTCTAAAAGCTCTATTACTCTATTACTCTAGTACTCTATTAGTCTATTACTCTGTTACTCTATTTCTCTATTATTCTATTACTCTATTACTCTATTACTCTATTACTCTATGACCCTATTACATTTAAACTCTTACTCTATTACTCTATTACTCGATTACTCTATCACTCTATTACTCTATTAGTCTATTAGTCTAATACTCTATTACCCTACTACTCCATTAACTCTATTTATTACTCTATTACTCTATCTACTTTATTTCCTCTATGACTCTATGACTCTATGACTCTATTACTCTGCTACTACCCCTACTCCTGGGAGGAAGACGGCTGTATTTGCTTGTTTAGGTTTTAGGGGTTTAGGGTTTAGGGGTGTGGGGGTTTAGGGTTTGGGGGTTGGGGAGGAACACAGCTGCAATTGGCCGAAGCCGGATAAAAATCGAGTCTCGTACTACTACTCGTACTACTAATACTGCTATTGCTATTGTTACTGGTACTGCTATTTTTTTTTTGCCCTCGGCCCTGTTACTTTATTACTCTAATACTCTTTTACTCTATTACTCTATTAGTCTATTACTCTATTACTCTATTACTCGTATACTCTTACTCTATTACTCTATTACTCTTTACTCTATTACTCTAGTACTCCAGTACTCTTTTACTTTATTACTCTATTACTCTATTACTCTATTACTCTATTACTCTAGTACTCTACTACTCTATTACTCTATTACTCTGTTACTCTATTAGTCTATTCCTCTATTACTCTATGAGTCTATTCCTCTATTAATCTGTTATTCTATTACTATATATCTCTGTTACTCTATGACTCTAATACTCTATTACTCTACTACTCCATTAACTCTCTTTATTGCTCTTTTATTCTTTTTTTACTGTATTTCCTCTATGACTCTACCCCTACTACTACTACTACTACTACGACAACGACGACGACGACTACTACTACTACTACTACTACTACTACTACTACTAGTCGTACTACTAATACTGCTATTGCTACTGTCACTGGTACTGCTAATGCTTCTACTACTTGTACTACTACTACTACTACTACTACTACTAGAACCACTACTACTACTACTACTACTACTACTACTCCTACTACTACTACCACTACCACTACCACTACCACTACTACCACTTCTACTCCTACTACTCCTACTACTACTACTACTACGACTACTGCTACTACTGCTTCCACTACTACTACTACTACGACGACTACTACTACTGCTACTACATAGAGTCATAGAGGAAATAAAGTAGATAGAGTAATAGAGTAATAAATAGAGTTAATGGAGTCGTAGAGTAATAGAGTATTAGAGTAATAGAGTAATAGAGTAATATAGTAATCGAGTAATAGAGTAATAGAGTAATGGAGTAAGAGTATAAGAGTAATAGGCTCATAGAGTAATAGAGTAATAGAGTATTTGAGTAATAGAGTAATAGAGTAATAGAGTAATAGAATAATAGAGTAATAGAGTAATAGAGTAATAGAGTAACAGAGTAATCGACTAATAGAGTACTAGAGTAATAGAGTAATAGAGCTTTTAAGAGTAAGAGAGTAGTAGAGTCATAGGGTAATAGACTAATAGAGTCATAGGCTGTATTGCTTTGTTACTTTGTTACTCTATTGCCGTCCAAGGAGTTTGCTCTTCTCGGCTAAACCATGAGCTCTTGAATATGTGCATGCACATGGATGGGTATTGGCAAAACGACCCATGTGCCTTCCGTATATTTCAATTTCGTCCCCATTCTTCTGCGCGGAGCCATCTCGTGCATGAGCCCGTCGACATGACACAGCTTTGGGCCGAGCAAGATAAGCTCAGGTGGCTTCGGCCTCAGGCAGCGCCAACACGTGCGCAGGAAGATGGCCTGAACCTTCGCCTATACACCTGGCCCCTTTCCTTTTGTTAGGGTTGGGCTCTATTGGAGATATTGTATGTATTTCTTTTGTCGATGTGTGATGAGCGAGAAGGAACGAGATCCCTGAATCGCATGATGAAGAGGTGGGTTTGAGGATGGTCGCGTCTTGGATTGCTTGATGAGAGGGACTTTATTTCGGTGTGTTGATCTGACAGACTGATGTCAGGGGTCATGGCTTGAAACTTGCAAGTCTCACCCAGAAAGATGTTCACTCCAATTCAAGGTTTGTAGCATCTCTTCTCGCATCTCTGCCAGGGGCTCTCAGAAGTGACTCTGAGATGGACTGAGCTTGTTATGCCGTCGGATCCTGAAAAGCTTTAGACTTGCGATCTTGGCAGTGTCTCGCTTCGGCTCTTCGGCTTCTGAGGCCTGTAGAGTACAATGGATCCATATTAAATCTGACAGCTGAACAAGGCACGCAGTCCGCGCAGCTTGAGAGTTGAGACCACTACTTGTCTGTTGCACATACAGAGGTGAGCATTCGAATGTTGCCGACACTCACGATGGCAATTCGGCCAGCCTGTCAATTTGACGTATCTTGACGTTCCACTTATGTGTTATGACGTCGATGTCTGACACACGGCAGGAGTCCGACAATTCCGCCTTGGTGTCTGCAGTTCTGCTTTCCCTCACGGCTATTCCCGTCGTAGCCAGACCTCAGAAGGTCCGTGCATTCGTGCAGAAGATCACGGCAGATGCACCTCAGGCCTCGATTCTGAATTTCATCTCCGCAGACGCGCGACTCCGTCGCCAGCCGCCTCCAGCACGCGAAGGACGCGATGGGGCTTTGCCCGTCAAAGCCAGCCTTGCTGCCTTGCTTGCGCTGCTCCAGGACCTGTCCCTGCAGATTTGCCGGAGCTGCAGAGGGTTCACCGACGAAGCAAGGTGAGAGGAAGCCGATCCGCAATCCGGGAGCGGCCCTCATGAAGCCTGCTACGTTCGGCAACATTTTGGGCAAGGCTGCGTTTGCAGCTTTCCCGTGGACGCCGTGTACATACGATCTGTGCGTTCCTGCCAAAGAAGCAGGCCAATCCCAACGAACATCGGGGATTTCGTCAACGTTTTGCAAATGAGTAGGTTTTGGGTCACTGACACTGAGCAAGGCGTGGAATCTATACCCAGTGCAACTCATGACTGTATGGACCTTTCGTTTCCATCTGACAAGCACGCTCATCACTGATGCATGGTGAAGCCATTGAGGACCTGAGAAACCGTAATGTATGAGGACAGGACATGCTTTTTGGCACGCAAACATGCTTGCAATGTCTCTAGCTTCAGAAGCCGAGCCGAGCTTTGTGGTTGAATTTAGATTCGCACTCGATACCGATGGAATTCTGAACGGATGGATCTCAACTCCGCGGCGCCCGAGGCAAATGCGCCTTGTGGGGAATCGCGGTATTCGCGTGTTTTTCGGAACTCGGGAGGCGCAGTCTCAGCTGGCCACGCTGGTGCAAGAGGCACAGTCCAAAGGCAGTGGCGACGAGATACTTGAGCAGCCCGAGCAGCAAAGTACCCTGCATGCTTCTTGGTACGCAGACTGGATCCTTGTGGTCACTGCCAAAGTTTTGTTGCAGTCGCAGGATCTGCCTGTGAGGTCTTTCAAGGCTGGCTGCAGCAGGAGTTGCACGCTCACGAAGAGCGCCTCAGGAGTGGACTCAGAGAGGATCTCTCTCATTTTTTCAGGCCCCCCCCGGGGGCGGGCCCCGCCGGGCCCCGGGTCCCGGCCTTGCTTTGCCGTTGCTTTGCGCTTGCGCCGCTTGCCTTTCCCCTGCAGGCAAAGACCTCCCGGCGGCGGAGGGCCTCTTGCGGCGCAAGTGTCGCACCCGCAGGCAACGCCCTCATTTGCGCAGAGACTTTGGGACTGACATGACATCGATGCGCGCTGAGTTTTCGAGTGTGATAAAGCAGAGCTGCATTAACAGACCCTGTTCTCGCGGCCCGACCACCCACGCCCGACACTTGCCGTCATTGCCATCCGCTCGCATGTCGATTCACAGCACCTCGGCCAGTGCAGATCTTGTCCATGTTGATCGAACCTTCTGAAGCCCAAAGCCTCAAACCAAGAACCAACTCAAGTCCTGGGCTATCTTTTGTGCTCTCGCATGAGCCACGAATGCTCGTGGCAGGAGCTCGAGGAGAGTGCGGGGCGCACGGTGCTCGCAGAGCGCGCGCTCAGCCCACCCAGGTCGGGGCCTCAGCACCGCCCGAGGGGCCGCCAGAAGGGGCTAAGACGCGTGGGCTTCCCCGTTTTTTGCAGAGGCCGCATACTCCACCCTCGGCACCAGCGGCGCCCTGCAAGCCAGTGCAGTTCGAAGACATGGAGCAACCTGAGACGGAGGACAAGGAGACTAGGGCCTAGGGCCGGGTCCTGGGCCTCCAAAAAAGCGCGAGAGATTTTTGTGACACGGTGATGTGTCGTGGTGTTGCTAGGATGCGAAGCTCCCGGGGATGGTGTCCGATGATAAGGGGACCCCAAAGCTCGAAGCTCAGCCTCGGATGACACAGAGATCAGATGCAGCAAGAAGAAAGCCCATGTGCCAGCATTGAAGTGCGCTCAGGAAGTCCAGAAGCCGCTTTGCCAGCCAAACTGGGGTAGCTGTGGCTCAGAGTCGCAAGTCGCTCAAGTCCATGGCTCGAGGGGCAGGTGGCGCATTGCACAGACATTTGCTGCATCGCAACGTCTGGTGTGCCAGGCGCGGAGAAAGTCGCCCCCAGTGGTGTGGTGCCAGAAACACCAGATGCGAAGCTCCAGTCAGAGGAGGCCATTACCACTACAGAATTAATCTGGTGTAGTGACACTCCAGGGATGTACGGTGCAATGACTCAGTCGACACAACTAGTGACAGCAAGTGGCGATAGGAGCAGGTAGTGGCAAGTGACGAGTGAATTACAGATGAGTGCCTTGATATGTAGGACGTGCTTCCAGCCATGCGTGCGGTAGAACGACTTCGAGACTTCGTCCGTCGCAACTTTGTCGAGAACACCTGCTTCGGCTACGTCATCATTGCCTTCATTGTGCTAAACGCCGTGATGATGGGCATCCAAGCTGATTGGATGGTCTCAAACATCGGTCAAACAGCCCCGGCGATTTTTGACATATTCGAGAACATATTCGCAGTGATTTTCACGTGCGAGTTGGCAATGCGGATTTTTGTCTACCACGTCCACTTTTTTCGGACTGCAGAGTGGAAGTGGAATGTGTTTGATTCGGTTGTTGTGGCTCTGCAACTAATTGATATTGTGTCAACGCTGGCTGTCGGCGACGAGAATGCTTCGGCGGACACTGGCAATTTATCCTTCATGAGGATCATCCGTCTCATGCGCTTGCTGCGGATTCTTCGCCTCATGCGCTTGTTGCGCTTTGTGCAAGAGCTGCGATCAATGGTAATGTCCATTGTGGCTTCTTTAAAGTCGCTAATGTGGACAATTATCCTGTTGGCATTCCTGATGTACGGTGTTGGCGTCTGTTTGACACAGATGATCGCTGACAAAGGTTTGGAAGAGCCCAGAATCATGCTGCTCTCCCCGGATATGAAGAGCCATTACGGCTCGCTACCCCAAGCTTTGGTATCCCTTTTTGCAGGAATTACAGGTGGAATTGATTGGGCCGATCTTATGGCTCCACTGCAGGAGCAAATCTCGCCATGGCTGGCTGCTGTTTTTGTTCTATACATAGCGTTTGCAGTGCTCGCGATGATGAACGTCGTGACAGGCACGCAGGAGGTAATCCATTCCGTGTAAGCTCGTAGAGACTGTCAGCAGGAAGCATGTTGTTTCCAGGTATCTTCGTGGAATCCGCACTGCAGTCTACCAGGGCAGATGAGGAGAAGGAAGTCCGTGCACAGCTGGACGAGATGTTCAAGCAGCTAGACTCCGGGCTTTGTCTCTGCGTGTGCGGAATGCTATCGCTTGGATCGAGGTGCAGCGTTTGTTTTTGGCTTGGCCGAGTGCAACTTTGATAGTTGACTGTCAGATTTGATTTCCAGCGTCCAATCAACGGTTGTTCTTTGCAATGTGCCGCCGTGCCTCTAGTCTTGAGGCATGTGGACCAAGAGAAGAATGGAACCATATCATGGCAGGACGCTCGTGTATTTGCGCAGCGCAGCCACTAGCAAATGAGTTGAGGGTGTTGAGATGCGATGACCGTCCTAGTTTCGTGATGTTAGGAGTTCGTGCAGACGCTGGCCTGCATTGCGCTGTTCTGAAGCTCCAGCCAGAGTTTGTGAGTTGCCAGGCATGCCGAGCAGTCACATCGCTTCAGGTCATTGGAGAATCCTGATATGAGGAGATGCTTCGAAAGCTTGGGCTTCAACATGGAAGAGGCGAGAGGAGGTTCGTTTCCCACACCTTACTGACCTGATGGTGGAGTGTCGCTTCGGGTTCGGCCTTCCTTTCGTGTCTCTCAGTGCAGAGGTCACTTCCGCAATTGCTATCGCGATGGGTTCAGATGTTCGCACTGCTGTTCCAACTAGAACACCCTAGCCGCAGGTCTGGTATAGCGGCTGTGGCGTCCCATGCACGTGATGCCAACTAAGTAGCATGTTGCAAGTGCTCGGAATGTGCTGAGTGCTTCTAGCATGGAATGCTGGAGCAGTGCCTGGGATGATGGGATGGCGACCTGTTCACTTGAAAAAAGAGCAGGTTAACGGAGTGCAACAGCATGCAACCACGGGCTTTGCCGGGGAAGCGTTTGCAGAAGATCTGAATCATCTGGCTCTCCTGCGCCCGATCTTCAAAATGAACGAACGTGCTGCGAATGTGTCCATGCGCTTGCAACTTTCTTTGAGGTACGGAGGTTGCAGTGCCGTACCGTTCCGGTTTGGGTTGGCACCTGGGTGGGTTTGGCAATCAACGTCACGCGCCAAGAAGCCGTGCCGCCGTTGCAAGATGCACTCGTTCACCCCAAAGTGCTGCTTCTCCGGAATACAGCACCTGCGGGGAGCTGGAATGGCCTTCGATCTTATGAGGCTATCAGTCCAGCATAGACTCTCTCAGCATCTTGCAGCTGTGTTGACATTGCCGATTGTCCCTGCGCGCGACTGGGACAGACATGAATCATGAAGCATGTCCCTCAGGATTGTGCGGCCCTTTTCCGAATCCTGGATGATGGAGACGGCGAATGTACGTTGGATGAGTTCATTGGGGGAATTCTCCGGTGCAAAGGCCAGGAAAGGATTGATGCTGTTGTGTGAGTTTACCCATCGTCTCCCCGAGGAGGTCTGAACATGTGAGCTTTGAAGCAGACAAATGACAACATGCGCTCGACCCTTCAAACCCTCAGCCGGGCCTGGTGATGACCTGAACCGTCAGGTCCAGCCCGGGCTTTCGACCAGATGGCAATGCAGGCAGGATTGAAGCAGCTGGACAGCAAGGCGCCAGTCTGCTCGCCTCTTTTTGTTACGAAGCACATGCAATTAGGGTTTCCCTCCTACCATAAGGATTTCTGGCTTCGGCCTTCCTCGCTTGATTGTGCCAACTGCTGAGATATGTTCGGCCGATTTCAAATGGCTTTGCTTAGGCAAGTTCCAACCTGAGAATGTTTGTTTGGAGAACCCATGCGCGACAAGCAAAGATACCTTCATAGTCCCGGATCCAGATTGATCAGCTTCATCGAATCTACACTGCGCAAGCTGAACATTAAGACTGGGATTTCACGCATGTCAGGCCATCATTGCCTAGCAGTGGTTGTTACTGCTGCGGAAAGTTGTTTCGTGATTTGACTTTAGAGGCCATGCCTGAAACATGCCGTGGCTGTTGACGCATGAGGCTGATCCAGGTCAGAGATGTGGGGAACCTTTGGGGCATTTTCCTTCGATGGAGTTTGTCCCGAAGCTGTGCGAATGTAAACAGTTGAAAGAGGGTGCTCACTTGGATTGGATGAACTGGAGCATTGCAGGACACTGTCGAAGATCGAGCCTGCTTTATTTAGTGTTGCTGATCTGAGACATTCCATAAGATCGCCCAAGCCACGGAGGTCTGAGCTCATCTGAGCTGTGAGCTTTCACATTGAAACTTTGGCATCTCATTTTGGACATCATATTTCGCATGAACGGCCTTGCCTTGATGCCTATATCCGCCTCCCCGTTCTCGCCCACTTCACATAGTTGCTCACTGTTGCCTTTGCGGTTCGCTTCCCTCTTGAGCGCAGGTTTCGAAAGTCATGAAGGCAATGGCCACCGCGGGATTGATGAAGAAAGCCACTGTGGCAGCCGAGGTGCCCGGAGGTAGCTTATGCCAGGTGCAAAATCTTTCCCTGTTGGAGGGCCTCACCTGAAAGCACATCGGTCAATAGGCCCACACTTGGAGTCTGGTGTTACCGCAAAAGCTAAATCGTTGCTTCGAACCCCAAGGACTTTGCATGCACCGGACGGCTACGTCATGGGTCTCCGTAAAGTCCGCAGTATCACTACTAGAATACCAAAGAGTTAGATAGATCCCGTCCTAGAACCTGGAAGCACAGAGTCGTGTTTTGCATACTCCAATCTCAGTGGCAGTAGCCAATTGCCGGCACCAAACCAACAGCGCTGTGAATGACAACTGATGTAAGGGTGATACCAGGTGCACTTTTCTTTGGTTTAATCCGCGAACTCAGCTCCTCTGCGAAGGGCATGGACTCGACGGAGTACATCACCGACTAGTTCGAGTCGATCTTGTCTGGGCCCAAATTTCAGAGAAGTCCCCTCCTGCAAGGAGCCCGAGCGTCAACGAGAATCGAAGAAACGGGGGGGGGGGCAGCAGCTAACGGCTAACGTCAACGCCAAACAAAGGCGCAATCTCCCGCAGGCACAGACACACAGACACACAGACACAGCACATGGCAGCATGGCCACAGCCACAGCGAGGCGCCTGCCTCATGGACTCATGGGGCCAAGACATGACCAGATGTCTTAGACTTGGACCGTGGGAAATCGAATCTGGCAGAGTGTCTTTCCGGCAGAGGCAGCAACTAGCAGTTGTCAGCTGCGCGTCTGTCCGTTCTTCGTCGGCCGCAGCTTGCCACTCCGAGGTTTGACAACCTGTCGGCAGTCCTAATGCTGTGACTTCTGTGACAAAAAGCCTGACAGCTGATATACATGCGCTGATACTCGTCGTTTACCTCTTCTGATAATTTGATTTGCCCCTGCCGCCGAAGGCGACGGGAGCTCTAAGCGGAATCGCTGCAGGGCCCGGTGCCGATTGCGAACGCCGGGATCCGCAGCATTTACGAAACTGGGTCCCTAAGAAGCGGGAGAACCGCCGTTACAACCGTGGAGACAACACGAGTTTGGGTGGCTCCCGCCGGGCAGTTTCACTGTTTTTGCTCAATGCCAGAGGCATCGATGTCACTTTGGGGTTCCGAAGTGATCGCGTTTATGTGCAGACATTCTTTTCGGAAAGGATGGGCATACCCAGATGCTTCGTTGCACGGTTGTCTCTTCAGCCTGATCTCTGCGTCCATCAGAGCTGCAATCAGAGTTGGACACAAATTCTTGTTCCGCAGCAGCTCTTTTGGAAGGCTCTGTAAGTCACAGAGCAAGATGGGTGGTCAGCAGTCCGCAGCGAAGGCCCTGCAGTGTGTGATTTGGGACCCGTCTGACGCATGCAGCTTGAGGACGCAGCTGGCCAACAGCCAGGTGGAATCCTCCGTGAAGCAAAGCGCGGCAGAGACACAGCTGCAAACCAAGGAGATGCCACGAGTTCCAGCCATGGGAAGGGTCGTGCGGCAAACAATCAGGCACCAGGGTTTCTCGTCATGTCTTGTTCTCCGCTGCTCTGCATCGTTCGGACAGGTGCAGCTCGCAGTGAGCCCACTCGGGGGAGTTCCCGGAGTGGAGCCGGCTTGTCGAGGTACTCGTATGGCCCGTGCGGAGCGATACCTGTATTCCCCGAAGGCAACAGCATATCATTCCTCCGTGATCGTCAACGGGGATGTGCCTGTCTCAGAGCAAGGCAGCACTTCCAGGCATTGCAAGCTGCAAGCCGGCCTGGGTTGCGGAGGAATACTTTTTCAGCGATGGCGGCATCTCCTTCGGAAGCGGGCTGCAGTCGCACAAGAATCCCCAGAACCCAGACTCGAAGCCCGAGGCCGATCTGTTGCGATGTTTTCTGCACCAGAAAAGTGGCAGCCCGGCCAGGTGTTTGACATGGGCATGTCCCCATACACGGGCACGCAGATGAAGTCAGCGCTGGAACGCTTCTTCCACTCCGGCACGTGCTCAGCTTAAGTATGCTTTGCTTGCAAACTGATGCGTTTTGGTGCGTGCACTCTCTGTCGTTCATTTCTGCCCACTGCTTGGCAAGGTATGACTTGCATGGGCCCCAGAGACATGTGAGCTTGTCACACTTTCAGCGCTCACGGCCATCATGGTTGCAGGCTTCGCAAGAACTGCAATTCGTTTTCCGACTGCGCTCTTTTCTACCTTCTTCACAAGCTGTTCTGCCATGATTCCAATGATTGAAATACCCCTTTCTGAACATCACAGGTGCCTAGTTTGTGCGTCGTGCCAGGCGACTGGACAAGAAGTACCGGGCAATGGAGAAGCTAGGCACTTGTAATTCTCTTCGCAGTTGCGCGGTTTGCGTGCTAGTTTGCCTGCTCTTGCTGGTGGGTGATGTTGGCCTCGGCAGCGTTATTCTCGAGATCGGGCCTTGCTCGTAGATATGGATGGCTACTCGAGCAAGAAGCGCGCAGAGGTCGCTCATACATGTCATTCCTCTTTTCTTGTTCCGATGGTGTGGCATCGGTGAGTGTTTTGTGTGGCAGGACGGGATATGTCGTCTCAGCTTGGATGCGCCGCATAGGCCTGGGCCTCGGCAACTCCGCTGAGCAGCGGTCGGGTATGGCGTAAAGTGACTGTCGAGGCTGCAGCAGCGGTCGATCTCTGCTTCGAAGCTGGAGAGCATGAAGCAGGTGCGCAGAGCCTCAGAACAGACTCCCTCGGACGCGCAGACACTTAGACTCACACACACGCACACACACACACACACACACACACTCACTCGCTCACTCACTCTGTCGCTCTCGCTCTCGCTCTCGCTCTCGCTCTCGCTCTCGCTCTCGCTCTCTCTCTCTCTCTCTCTGCTTCGTCTCTTCTCCAGGAGGCCGAGATGGCGAAAGAGTGGGGCAAGCAGGTGAAAGCAGAGCTGCATCTTCAGCAAGGCCCTGCAGACAGAAGCGAGACATGCTTGCCATGCCTCCCACAAGTCCACAAGTGTCAGGAAATGCCAAAGCACTGCAGAAGGCAAGGTACTCAGGAGCTTGGCTGCATCAGCATCCTCTGGATTTGAGGACACACTGGCCAGCCGCTCCTGGGGTGGCCCCAAGTACAGGTTCCGGACAATCAGAAGACTCTGTTTACGTCAGGCCTCATGATTGGTAGCTGACCAGCAGGCACGTGCCTCCGCAAGATGGGCAGAGCGCCGATTACCAGAAGAGTATGCGCAAAATGCAGAGCATTGCCAGCGAGATTTCGACAAAGCAGGCAGCACAGGATAACTTCAAGTGTCTTGCGACTATGGTGATGCCTACAAACGACGAAGGCAAGCGTAGACAAAGCCATGCAGGAGGACCATAGGTGTCAACCCCAGCTTGCGGCACTGATGTCACTGTCACTGCGGGGGCTTTTGATTCGCAGGATGGTGAGGAATACTCGGGCCGATACGAGTGTCCATTCCTTGGCAGCCTGGTTGGAAAAGTATGGCAAGCCTAGCCGCCAGCCTGAGCACCAGGCCACGCTGAGGGTGGGAATGATTGTCGATCCGTTTGCTGTGGCTTTTGGCTGACGGAGGAGCGATTTCGCACAACTCCTTTCAAGCAGCGGAGGCTGGCTTGCAGTCTTCGCAGTCTGCCTCATAGAAGCGCGACCCGTCTGTTTCACGAGGATCCCGTTCCTGGGCATCTCAGAAGCCAAGACACTTCGTCTTGGGGCAGGTGAATCTCAGATTTCCTGAGCCGGTCACATGGTGATTGTGGGTCTTCAGTTGCACAAGCTCCATAGGTCTGTGCCAATGTGTGGCGCAGGCATCTGGTCACAAAGAAGCGAGACAGACCTTCTTGGCACCTACAACTTCCGAAGTGTGGGACGTTGATGTGCGGAGCGCGGTGCATGGGTCACAGGTGTTCTGGTAGGCGGAAATCGGAGCATAATTGAGTGCATTTTAATATACGATAGCCATTGTGTGACAGACTCACACGAGCCCACCCAAGACCTTGACAATTTGATGTGTTGCCGTAGGCACAATGAATCAGCTTGCAAATGAGTTAGGCGTGACAATCAGACGCGTGGCAGCATGGAGAACTTGCGCCAGCGTTTTTCCACGCTTGTTTTGTCTTCGACGCCAAAGGTGTTGGAGTTTGAGGGCAGTCTGCGCCAAGCGCCGTGCTCATTCTCGCTTGTGTCGACTTGGACAAAAGATGTGCTGGATCTTTGTGTTGATGGAGCGCATCCAGTGTCGGTGTCACCAATGTGTATGCTGACCGTGGAAGGACTTATGCAAACATAGCACGGTACAACAGTCGGCGAAGCGTGGCTCGGTTTCGAAAAACAGGCGAAGGCAAGTTAAACGAACTACTGGTAGCGGTTTCAGGCCCCTTCTTGAAACAGGTTCTCGGTGTCCAAAGTGTTTGTCTTGAGTTGATTTCTCTCTCCACACTCTTCCAGAAGTTGGCGGGGACAGTAAGGCGAAACAGAGGTTGTTTGCAGCTGCTTGGTGGGTGGAGATGAAGATGCAAACTGCAGAGTGTTGTAGGGCACCGCAGCCGAGGGCCTCCGTTTTTTACACAGCCACCTGGATTTGTCCCGTGGTGCAGAAACTACTTCAAAGCCGTATCAATCAGCGTTTTGAAGACTTCGGATGGGGTGACCCAAGAGAAGAAGGGGCAGGCGAGCTCAAACCTCAGATTAAGCGAAGCTCAAGCTTGAAGAGGAAGCGTTCTGCTCCGGGTGCGCGTTCCGCGTTGAAGAGCAAGCCGGGTGTTTTGCACGGTCTCACAGGGCACGACAGAGCTTGAAGTGTGGTTTGATTGCACTTGCAAACATGACAGGGGCATCGGCAATGGGGATCGTGCAGGCAAATGTGACAGCTGCATGGTGCAGATAGCAACTTCGGCAAGTTTCGCTTCGGGCGACGCCCAAAACTGTGCAGGCAGCCTCAGGTGGGCAGTACCAGCCGAATCCGAAGGAGCTGCTTTTCGTATCTCGAAATATGTCGCTTCTCTCTGGCTCTGGGGTGCTTGTGCAGGCTGAGGGCTTCGACGTGGAGAAAGTTTGCGACGAGATCGACCCCGACAAAGTTTGGAAGACGCCCGGGCAGGCGTTGTGGTGCGTGCACAAGCAGTTGCAGCAGCCCTCTCAACCGCTATATCTGCAGGCTATTGGAGGAGCAACTGCCAACTCTGCAGAGGCACTGGCGCAGATGTACAAGCTTCATTATGTATGTTCCTTGTAAACCGGCCTGTTCGTGATTCGTTTTTTCCAGGCCATGCGGGCTGCGCGATTGGCCAAACTTGGGGCGGGACCTGGCACTGGACCTGGCTCAGCTCCCACAGGTGGATATGCAGAAGGCGTGCAGCGTGGTGCCTGCGTGAAGCTGGCACTGGATGCGCGTCATTCTCCAGTCTTTCGCCAGGTCAACCAGGGGGAGCCCAGCCGCCACCCAGCGCGGCAGCCTCTTAGACAGCGGCAACGTGCTGCCAGCCATTCCATTGCTTCAGACGGGACCGGTGTGCGTCTGGTGCGCAGAGTGTTTCACAAGATGCCCAAAACAATCGAGACGCTTACCGGCACGAATTTGCAAGAAAAGCATGCTGCACATGGTGCACTGTCCTCTGCCGTGTTTGAGACTAACTTCAAGGACATTCATGGCAGACTCACTATTCGCCAACGAACGCTTTGACAGTTGCGGCCGCGCAGACCAAGCGCGAGGGACGCGACTGTCGTTGCCTCCGATAAGAAAACTTCATGAAGGTGGGGTAAATTTGTTCAATCAAAGTAGGTGGGTTCTCTCTGACTGCTCCAGGTTTGGGTGGCTTGGCTGTTGCTTTTGCCCTTCTTGAAGCTGACGGTAGCGGCCGTCCAGTGCTCACTCTGCTGGTCTGCACAGACGGTCGCATCTCATGATATTTCGACCTGCGAGGCCGACAGCATCACTTCACAGGGGCCCAGGTGCCGCCCAGTCGTCCACCGCCGATCTCACATGCCGCATGCCACTCTCATTCGCTCTTGCTGCCTTGTTCAGGATTAAGCTGTCATGGGAGGCCTGGCAGTTCTGAGTTCTGAATGCAGTGCTTCTTTCGACGAGCGCAAGGTTGCAATTGAGTAACTCGTTGATGGTTTCGGCACCAGCTGCACAGCCAAGTGGCCAAGTGCCGGCAGTGATTGAAGCCATGGCGATTGCGCGTGGATGAACAGTATGCATATTGCATGTTCACCAACAAGAGCTTTAGCAACGTCGGGCGCAAGACCGCGCAGAGCATCGACACGCTGAAGAAGAGACTTGGAGTCGACGCGGAAATTACCACCAAGCCCACAGTGGCCACCAGAGCACTCTCCAGCTCCGTATCGGATTCTTCGTTGCCGACAGGCCCCTGTCTAAGCTCCGTCCAGACTTCTTGCCGTAACTTTGGATCATGACGGCATCCAAACGCTTCGGGTGGCTTTCGAAGTCCGGGGAATAACCGATGCAGTTCTGGACGTCGGTGGACAGCCTTAATGATGCATGCAGGGGTTGTCTAGCTGTTTTGTAGCACTGCTGTAACTAGCATCGTACTGTATACATAGTACACATTCGCAATGGCATCAGCCATGCAACGCCAGCGGGTCGGGGCAAATGCAGGTTCGACCACCTCGACGCAAGACCTCGTGCAGAAGTTCTCGCGAAGAAAGGTCAAATCCTTTGAGACGAAGCAGGGCAAGGCCGATGCAGAAATTGTGCCGTGCCCAATTCTTTAAGGTGCTTCGTGATGCGAAGCGCCGTTCGGAGTTTCGGCAGGTGGAGGACTCCGTCGAGGTGGCGCCGCTCAGCCCAAGCCATGTCAGACAGGCGCGAAAGTCGGAAGTTTTTGGGGCTTTGTCCGTAACTTGGGAGGGCGCTTGGTTTCTATGAGGTGGCTCCTTTGCGCAACACGAGTGCCTTTCGCTCGCTTGGCCGGGAGGAGTGCTAACGCCGCGCAGGCATTGACTTGACTTGTGATATCCTAGAGCCGAAGGAGCTGGACAAACGGATCAAAAGCGATGAAGTGCCTCCTGTCGGTTTGCTGCTCAGGGAGGTCGCTGAAAGGAAATGGCCCACTGAGCAATTTTTCCTGTTGCACGGAGGCAGCTACTCGCCGAAGGACGATTGCACTGCAGCTCTAAGCCGGGTTCGATGCTCTGTCTGAGCATCGCAGCTTGTTGTGCTATCTAGCAGAGGCGATGTTTCGTCGAGCTATCGACTTCAGGTCAAACATCCACCTCCTCATGGCTGCAGCTTCGCGTCTCGCGAGATCACGCGCAGCCGCAGAATTGTTCTGGCAGAGCAGCTTCGTGCCCAAGGCAGCGTGCTCAACCCAAATTTGAGCAGAACGAGAGCTGGTAAGCTACGAAATAGCTATCGAATGTGTCGTTGCAGGTCAACCCTATGAGCATCTGCTGGACAACCCTGGACGTGAGCTTCCAGAAGGTTTGCCAGATAATCCCTTGGCCCGAAAGAAACAGATCGTTTTTGCCCCTCGATGCAACGCAAGCTGCTTGTCAGTCTTATCTGTGCTGACGGAATCCAGCGACTGAGGTAAACATGTCCAAGCAGCTTCCACGACCAGACCTTACGGAATCTGCGAACATCGTTTACCATGACACTATAGCAATTTCTTCATCGGGCTTTGAGGAAGCTCACAAGAAGTGTGCCAAGTTTGGGAAGTTCTACAGGCAGCCATGTTACCCAATCTCCCTGCTACCGCGGTCCGAGAAGACACAGGAATCCTTCACTCAACCTGGCGAGTTCAATGTGAACCTCAACTTTGTGAGGCCGAGGTTGGCAGCCAACATGGAGTTTCGCAAACGACCGGGTCGGAAGGATCTGCTCGAATAGCGATGCCTCGTCAATCTGAGCTGCGTCACTTTGGAGCAGACTTCAGATGTTACGCTCTCCCGCCATGCGATGCGCGCCTGGCTGTGGAGCTGTATTGGCTTATGAGTGTTGCTTCCGAAGGAAGCCAAGCTCTTTCAAAGCACGTCTAGCAAAGAGGAAAGCGATTGTTATGCCATGGTACCATGCGGCATGCCGTGTTTGAACTTGCTTGGAGCTATTGCAATGCCAGGCAGACTTGCGAGAGGAGAACTCCTTCTCCCGCTCAGGGCTCGCAACTCATGCCTTCAGTCGCCTCGAGCCGCGTGAGCCAGGCAAGGAGATGAGATCTGGGTCTATAAGTGAAGCGAGTCCCTTGATTACACTGGGTTCCACTCCCGCCGGAGGTCCAAGCGCAAAGGTCTTACAGCCTGTGTACTTCAAGTTCCGCGAGCATCACGGCCACTTGGTAAGCAATGAAGCAAGATGAGGTCGGGTGGAAGCGTGGTGATGGGTGCAGAGAACAGCATGAAAGAGCCAAAGCAGTTCAAGTCCTTTGGCATGCTTCACTGCTAGTATACAGTGCTGATGATGTAATGGATGCATCACAAAGCTAAGCAGGCGTGAGGATTCCGGTGTGCACCCAGGGTTACAAGTTTCAGATCCTTTCAGACCCTCTTCTGTCTCGCGCTCCCAGGCGTGACGTTGATCGAAGCGCAATCGGGAGCCCAATTCCACGCAAACAAGCCTCATGTGGAACGGTGTTTCGTTGCGGCTTGCGGGCAACTCTTGGATGCTTCTCGTACAGGGAGCCACGAAACGCTTGATCAAGGGCGCAACCACGAACTGTTCGAACTGGTGGCTCATCCTAGCCCTGCCGTGCTCCAGGTCGGACACTGCCTTTGCCGGAGCGGCGCTGGGGAGGAGCAGCTGCCTCAGAGAGACCAGCAGCGTAAGCGGCGTGAAGCCTTGACTGAGGTCAGGTCGTGTGCGGACTTTAGCCGAGGAGCCGAAGAGTGTTCTGCTTGATCTGGGCATCTGCATGCATCTGCAGCCTGCAGCACTTTTCAATTTGAGCTGCCTTTGAATGCGACTTGCAAGATGGTGCTTTTCAACAGTCTGCTCGACTGCGCACCGTATTGAGAACGGCTTAAGCTTTTGTTGCGCGCTGAAGCCCGCCGGGCTGTTGCAGAAATGCAAGCCCGGCATTGGCTTCATGCCAAAGGCCTTTTCTGCAGCCCTCACTCTGTCTTTCTCGATGGGAACCGATAGGTGAAAGAACAAGCGACAACGAGTGATGGCGACATGTAGCTGCGCTTCTTATCTTCGCGGGGCAAACCACCCGAGGAGCACAATGAGGCTGCGCGTGGTTTGCCAAAAGCGCCAATACTCCGAGACATCTCCTGCAAGCAATGCAAGCAATGCAAGCACACAGGGCCCACAGGGCTGTCACTGTCAGGTTGTGTCAGCCGACAGTCTCACATCGGCGAGCTGCAGGAGAGAAGCCGACCAATTTTGGCCTCATGCGTTGCTCCTGTGAGCAGCGTACACTACTGAAGAATACAAGGGTGATCATATGCCTAAAGAGCCTAAAGAGCCTAAAGAGCGTAAAGAGCCTAAAGAGCCGGAAGAGCCTAAAGAGCCTAAAGAGCCCAAGGCCTAAACACCCACGAGCCAGCCTCAGAAGCACAGGCAGTGCACTTCAGTGATTCTTCAGTCAAGGTGATCGCGCGCCTCAGTGCAGCCGCTTGCGGACCTAATGCCAAACTGCCAGTCTCACCCACACCAGGTGAAGCGCAACGACATGCCTAGCATGGTTGCGAAACGCAGGCTGACAGGCACAGGCAGAGACCAAACCTTGCTGCTCCATGGTGAAGCCTGGAGACACCTGCCACATGCAGGCCAAGAATTTGAAGCCAGTTCAATATCGACAGAGGTGTGTGCTCCTTGAGCTACGTCATCTGGTCGGAATGAAGTGGCATTTGGAGCATGAGTGCTTCCACAAGGTACTGGTAGCTGTGCCAGGCCCCTGCATGAAGAAAGACAGTCTGCGTGCTGCTGAGCGAATCCTGGTTGAGCTGCTCCGTAAACTGTTGTTCATCCTCAGTTGCGATTGCTTTGAAGCTCAAGGCATGTAATTTACAGCTTTGCACAGCAAGCCGTAGAATCACACAACAGGAATGCCTGGAGACCAGAACGATGCAGTTCACGATGCCAAGCTAGACTCTACATGGATCCCGCATGGAGTCCCTGCCTGGCAGTGGCCCAAGCTTCTTTGCCTGACAGGCTTGTGCCTTGCAATTCCCTTTAACTGTTTTGTGACAGAATACGATGATCCTGGCGTGGCTGAAGTCGCCACCAGCTTGGTTCGTGTGTACAATACCTCCCAGCGAGAGACTTTGTATTTGCTAGTAAGGTGTTGCAGCTGGATGAGAACGATGCGGATTTGTGGAGGCGGCTTGACCTGGCGGGTCCCAAAAAATGAAAAGCTTAGGCTTTCCTTTTGGGAGTGCGCTTGGGAGGCAGCTGCGCCGAAAACGTGACTTCGAGCTTCGGGTGGACGAGAAAAGCTCGCAGCTGCAGGCCGGTTCTGCCAGTTCTGGTCCTTCCTCGCGTGTCTGAAACCAGAACTCTGCGCTTTTTGAGGATCATGCTTCGAAGCAGCAGCCCGGCCATGTGACGCTGACAGAGGCTCGGAGCACCATCATCCTGCCGCCTGTGAGCACAGTCTAACAGTGCAGGCCAGTGTTTCGGTCGAGCTGCTACACCTGCAGGCACGTGCAGATTTGTGTGGCTTGCAGTTGGCGTGCTGCCCAGATTCAATGACAGGCCAAATTTGTCAAGGAGCAGCACAGGGAGCTCGAGCACGACCTTATGGTCTTGAAGGACACACAGTGCAAGCCGACAGAGGTCGAGACCCGCATGTAGTAGAAGACTCCAGGAGTCGAATCGAATCCTCCAGCAAACCTTCCAGGCGCGAAGTGACGGCGACGCCGTTGCTTTTCGCTAAGCTTGGTGTGTGAGCGGCTCCCCTGGCCCGTTAGGTCTCTCCTTCATCCCGAACAGAGCGACAGGGCCTTCCAAGAAACAAGGAGAGCCTAAGGACAGCGCATCTGTAAGCGGCTGAAGATGGAGTCTGAGCAGCAAGGACTTTCTTGCCGAAGAGAAAGCTCGCATTGAGTCGCTCCAGGCCATGCCAATAAGCCGGCAACGCTTCCTTGACTGTGGAGTGCTCCTTTGACAGGTGCAGCAGGATCAGGTTGAACATCTTCGGATGCCCGTCTGCTTGAATGGTGCACCATGCAGATTTCAGGCTCTCCACAAGCATCGCTGCCCAGGCACATAGAAAGCCTCCGAGTTGAGAAGCAGAGCATGCAGCAGAACCAGCAGGTTTGGCACGGAACTTTGCATCAGAACTGGAAAGATCCACCTTCCAGTATTATGGGAGGTGCTTTTCCAGAAGCAGCGAAACGCAGAGCAGGATCGGAATCGATTGCTTGGAGCGCTGCAGGCAGGGCTTCTGAATCTGTGCCGGCACAGCTGCACGTATGAGCTCTGGCAAGGACGACAGGAACACTTTGAATGATCTGCGAGCGCAGCGCATCAAGCCAGCCCGCCAGTACCGGTAGTTGCCCACTTCACGTGCAGTGTCGATGTTACTTCCGGAGGCTGCTTGAACAGCGCACATCAGCCGAGAAACAGATCGCCAGCATTGTAACCCAGGCAGGTTGCCCAGAGCATGAAGGATGGGATAAATCATGCAGGGCCGAAAGCATATTACATTCCTTGGCACCTTGTACGCAATCATGAAAGCTCCTGGTGCAGCCGGAAGTCGCTGACGAAGTCTCGATCCGACAGGCCCATGGTACACTAGACGGACAGTCTGTCCATCGCCGGCTTTCGGGACAAAGGCGCCATCCCCAGTGCATGGTCGTACGGTTGCTGAGCCAAGAAGCGGTTAATGCGGTTTTGGCTGAGCGTGCTTGTCTGTCTGTCTTCTGAGCCAAACTGTTGACAGGAATTCCCGATCACCGGAGAAGGCAAGTGCCTGTGTTTGCTGGGCAAAGTTGAGATCGTTGATGCCCTTCCGGAGGCTGCCCAAACCTTGTACAAGGTGCCAGGGTCTTCCGGCGGAGTGCGAGGAGACTCGCAGTCGCCCATTCTTTTGGGCTACATTGCTGCTGAGAATATGAGAGCTCTGTGCAGGACATGTGCCCCATGATGCGCCTTTGTGAGATTCCCGGCCTACATGGAATGAGATGACTTGATATCCGGTCCAATCATTTCGTTTAGGCCGCAGTCCTGGTTTGCTTCCAGCACCCCCGCTCAGGCCTTCGTCTCACGTGGTTTGCCCTTCTATGTGTTCCGAAAGACTTTGCCTGCCCTTGTCCGTGAGGATATACATCGAACACACTGGACATCTTTCGAGGCAGAGGACAACTCTGCACCTCGCAAGGACAGTCCCGCCCATCTGAACGTGTCTGAGAAATGATGGGTAGTTGGACTTGTCGCATGCAGGCTGAATCACCTTCATTCGGAGGACGTGTTCGGCTTGATCCTTTCCAGGCCTGTCTCTCATTGGCGAAGTCTCGTGACAAGCAGTCGTTTTCTCATGTGTTTGAGGCTTAATCTTCACGCGCTCTGCAGCAACCTTCTCGATGGCGCCGGATAAAAAGCAATCTTTGTCAGTTGAGCTCCTGTCTTGCATGTCCTCCTGGCCCGTGCCACAGATCAAGCAAGCTATGTTCAAGTAGGATGATGAACACATGCGACACCAGCCAGAGATGTGAACCAATTCGCGTGTCGATTGCGGGCAGCATGGCCTCTGCTTCCCTCTGAAGATGAGGCTCTGTGATGGAAGGAGCGGCCCCCTGCCCATGCCCACTGCCCTGATTTCTACGCAACTCAGCATGCTGAAAGGACGGGGCGCTGACGGCAGACAGCCAGCACCCCTGCATGTCCATGACACTAAGTCACTAAGTGCGTGAGCTTCCTGGCAGCGTACCTTGGAGTGAGGTTTTGCAGCATTGGCGCGGACTTTGCTGCATTTCGAAGCGCTTGTCCCCTGAAGAAGTCAAGCCCTCAACATGCTCCAACCGCACTCCTGCAGCTTCGCTTTGCCGAGAGTCTTCTGGAACTGCACCATCGCGTTTGGGTGCATCAATTGTCAGACTCAGAAGCGGCAAGACCGGTAGGACTGGAGCCAGACATATACACAAGATGTCGCCGGATCATGTACAACCTGCCCTTCTGTGCGAAGCCAGGGAAAGGCTTTGACGAAGTTTATTGCAGTCCGTGGTCTCCAAACCTGTGTTTGCCATGATCTTCCTTGCTTGGCTGAACTTCCAGCATGTAAATACATGGTTTTGAATGGCGCAGATGCTTCTTTGCAGTAGGCGGTGGCGACCCTGAGAGTTCGAGCTAGGTGTCTACTGCCCAACAGTGTTTGCTGTATCCATGTCGCTTGGCGCGATCGAAATCCGAAACTTGAAGCCGTGTGAAGTCAGAATACCAAGTTCCGCTCAGGTTCGCTCAGCCACACTCGCAGCTGGAGTGGTCTTACTACCAGGCAGACCTTGATCGTGCTAATGCCGGAGCACACACTGAAGTGAGTCTGGACGCAAACTTGTATGTGCAATTTGCAGCAGGCTGGTCCAGCAGGTGATGCGAACCCGCTGGTGTAGCCTACTTAGTTATAGTGAATCTTCCAATTTTTTGTTGTGTTACGGAACCAAATCCACGTTGTGGGGTGGCCACAGTGTCAGAGGTTTTTGCATGGTACCAGCAGTACTGCTGCTGCTTTCTTCTACCAGGCAGGACTGCTGTGCCAAATCCACGTGTCAGGTTGTGGTGTAGCACATTCATGTGCGTAGGGACAACCGTCGAATCGACGTGGATGCCGCAGCTGCTGCTGGCTCCACGTCCCCCGACGAATTTTCAGCTTTCCGGTAGACCCTCTCGTCGCCATGGCCTATCAGTCCGCCGACGTGGTTGCGGCGTTGGACATGATCCGCCGGGCCGTCGCCGCCGGCGACGACTTGACCCAGCTCTTCTCCGAATGGAGTGGGCTGGAACGTCGCGCCTTGGCCGCGGCGATCAATAGCCCCGGCGCGGCCCCAGGCCCCGTCGTGTATGGCGATTCATTGAGGGTCTCTCCGGCGAGTGTTGGTGGAGCAGCAGCAGCGGCGCAGTCGGCGCCGTCGGACGACCCGTGCCCGGAACCTCCTGTCGACAGGCAGCAAGCGCCTCCCTCGGCGCACGCAGGAGGTTCCGGGGCACCGTCGTCCCCGGCAGAGCTTCCGCCGGCTGGTAAGCCGTCGGGTGGTGGCTATCCGCAGAAGCCCACCCGCCCGGCGCCGTCGGTTCCAAAAGGCGGTCCGCCGCAGATGTGGGGTTCCTCTGTCGCACCGACGCGGAGCTGGCCTACAAGCACCACCTCCCGACGGCAGAGGAGTACTACCGGCGATATCACCCCGTCGACGGTGATCCCGACGGTCGCGCCGGCAGCACCGCCGGCCCCATCAAGGACTTCGGTGCCGGCGCCCGTCGACTACCAGGACCGCATCGCCGAGGAGCTTCGCCGGCAGTTTGCGGAGGAGTCGCGGCAGCAGCGCACCGTCGAGCCCCAGGTCAAGGCGATGCCAGCAGCGCCGGCACCGTCGCCGCCGGCTCAGTCGGAATCTCGCAGGGCACCCACACCGACGCCGCGAGAGATGTATCCCGACGCGGATCCGATTACTGGCGCCGGCTTTCCAATCCTTCCCCGGCGGCCGGGGCAGAACGCCTCTCCCGCCGAGCTCGAGCGCCACAGGCGGGAGTACCGGCGTCTGGCTCACTTCCGCCGGATGCTTTGCTCGCAGGAGTGGCGCGACCACGTCGAGCTGATGGGCAAGTCCGGCGTGCGGTCCGACGTGCCGCTGCCGGAGCCGCTCCGGCCCCTCACCGTCGCCAACCTGGAGCACTTGGAGGACATCGAGAGGGCCGCCGCCGACGGTTCCACAGCCATGGTACCGGCGGCCGCCGCAGCGGCTTACTATGTTCTGCGAGCGCTGCCGCCCGGCGTCCGGGGAGGCCGCATTCCGGAGAAGATCCCCGGCGAGATTTGGTGTGTTGGGTGGTGTGGGCACCCGTGCACCAACGGTCGCTGCCGCGGCATTCCCGGCAGATGCCTCCGTCCGGTTTTGATTCGGGCCGGCGGCACGCCACGGCGCATCAGCTCGCCATGTCCATGCGCCTCGCCCGGACCTTCGAGGAGGTGACCTCGGCGATCATGGCGGACCAGGCGGCGTTCAATGAGGCACTCCAGTCCGCCGTCAAGCCCGGCCCGCCGAGGAGACCGACGGGGCAGCGACGGCCGCCCAACCAAGCCACCCGACGGAGGACGACCACACAGCCGACACCCGCAACAGGAAGGGGAAGGGCCGAGGCCGCCAGCCCCGTCGCCGCCCCGGGATGGTTGTCACCGCCGCCCCGCCGTGCCAAGACTTTTCGAGGATCGGCCTGGCGACCGGCCACGCGGGCGAGCGCGGGAGCCTTTTCCTCCTCACCGTCGACATGTTCAACCAGATCCTCGCCGACTCTCCGACCGGCGGGTGGCGTTCCTCTTCAGAGAACGTCGTGATGGAGCCCGCCGACGCCGCCAAGATCAGCGACGCCCTCGGCGTGCAGCCGGTCCTGGTCTGCGGGTCGGACTTCGGCTGGATTTCCAGGCCGACCTGACCGGCGCCCTGGTGGATCCGGCGTCGGGCCGACCGCTTCATTGGTCGAAGCAAGGCTCGTACCGCCGGGCCGACTCCGGCTCGAGGCCCCGAGACAACCGGCCGAGCTCACCGAGGCCGGCCTCTCGTTCCACCCGTCCGTCGAGTCCGGCAGGTTGCGCCTCCCGTGCTCCACGACACCGGCTGAAGACGCCGGCGGGAGACAGCCTCCGAAGAGGGTCCGGCAGAAGCTCCCCGAACCGGCGAAGGCCCGCTGGGCGGCGGACGGCCGACGGTTCGCCCCTTGGCACTATGTCGAGGAGGCCATGATGCATGAGGATGCGGGCCGCCTCCACAACATCCCGGCGAGCGTCAAGGAGCGCCTTCATCACATTCCGTCGGGTTACACACAGGCGGACTTCGTCGACGACACCGCCCGCCACCGCGTCATTGCCAACGGCTGGCACTGGGGGGTATAGCCCGCCGCTTGCTGGCGATCATCGTGGCCTTCTCCGTCGCCTCCTCGTCTGCGGCAGCACCGTTACCTGAGCCCCGTCGGTCAACCGTCCAGTGGGCAGCGGAACAGTTCGGCGGTGGACCGGTGCCGATGGAGCCACCGCCGCGACACCGACCGGACATCGACCTCCCCGACGACGACCCGGACCTACATTGGCGGCTGTCGGCGTCCCTGCGGCATTGCACGGTGACCCGGCGGCCCGATCTGGAGCCGGCTTTGGAGCGGGTACTGCTCCTCTGGCGGTCATGGCGCCACGACGTGGCGAGGATCCGGCGGGAGGTGCTACAGGACATCTCCTACCTCGTCGACGACATGGAGGACCACACGCAGCGCTGGCTGGAGCGGCGGTCGCCGTCGGTGAGGGCGACATACTCAACACCGGGCAAGGCGAGACCGACGCAGATCCCCGTCATCCTGGAGTTGCCCCGGCATGCAGGAGGACCTGACCGACGGCTTCGACATGTTGGGAGAACTCCGCCGAGGCCCGGGGTGGAGGACCAGAACCGACGAGAAGTACTCCAACCCGGCGTCGATCGAGAACTTCGCGTCGGCGAACTGGGAGTACATTAAGCGGCGGGCGTCCACAGCCACCGTCGGGGAGCACACCGACACCCTCCTCGCCGAGCTCGTGGAGGAAGCCCGTCTCGGCCGGGTGGTCGGCCCAACCCGGGCCCCCGACGGTTGGAACTTCAAGACGACGGCACTCCTTGACAGGCCGGGGGCCGACCGTCTGGTCGCGCCGCCGCCGGGCCAGGCCTTTGCCGCAGCCTCTTCCCCGTCGTGCAAGAAGACGAACAGGGAGGAGCAAAGGTCCGTCGCGCCGAAGACTGGCGCAGGTCTGGACACAACTCCACCGTCAGGGCCACGACGTCCCGACGCACCACTTCGTCGACGACTTCGTGGATATGATCCGGCGAGTGGTCGACCAGGCGGGGGGGCCGGCGACGCTGGCGAGGATATTCGGGCACGACCTCCTCAACGCCTACCGCCAGTGGCCGGTCAAGCACCCGGCGCACTCCGGCACCTTCATCGCGGGCCCAGCCGGCGTATCCCTCTGGTTTCATATGGCGATGTGCTTCGGCGCCGCCGCGTCGGTATGGCACTTTAACAGGACAGCCGACGCCCTCCAGGCCATACAGCGGGTGCTCCTCTGGATCCTGGCCGGCCATTTCGTCGACGATTTCAACGGCGTCGACATGGACGAGTCGGCGAACTCGGCCTTCCGGGCGATGGCCGACTTCTTCGAGCTCGTCGGGTTGCAGACGAAGCCGTCCAAGGCCCAGGCCCCGGCGACTCAACAGACAGTCCAGGGGGTCCTCGTATCCGTCGAGGCCGACGCAGTGGTCTTGCAACCGACCGCACGACGCGTCAAGAAGGTCCTGACGACGATCGACGCCGCACTGGCCAACGACGAGCTCACGCCGGACGTGGCGAACCGCCTGGCCGGCAAGCTCAACTTCATCACCCAGTCGACCTTCGGCGCCCTGGGGAAGGCAGCCCTCCAGCCCGTCTATTCAAGGGCACACGACGCGGCGGCCACGTCGGCCACGTCGCTATCGGCGGGCCTCCGGGCAGCCCTCACGTCTCTCCGGGCCCTGCTGGCAGACATCCGGCCGAGGAGGGACCCATCATAGACGATGGGGCGTCGTCGTCCGCATCGGCGCCCACGTCTTCTACGACTGCGGCGTGGTGCCGGCCAAGTTCCTGGACATTTTCGCCTCCCGTCGGGCATTTATCTATGTCCTCGAGATCGTCGCCCAGGTTCTGGCGCTGGTCACATTGTCCCGTCGGTTGCCCCAGAGGTGGCTGGCCTTCATCGACAACGTCGCCGGCCAATGGGCACTCACCAAGGGGTACGGGAAGGACTCCGCCGTCAACGGCGTCTTGGCGGCCTTTTGGTCCACGGCGGCTCTGTCGGAATGGCTTCCCGACTTCCGTCGGGTGCCGTCCAAAGCCAACGTCTCCGACGCAGTGTCGAGAGGAGACCTTCACACGGCGGAGAGTTCCGGCTGGGAGAGGGTGCACACACCCGTTGAGTCGATCCTCAAGGTGCTCTCCCGGGCCGTCGCCGACCTGGACTTTGCGGTCAACGACGCCGCCGATGAGTTACTAAATCTTGCGGTGTGAGCGGGCGAAGCCGGCGCAGAGTGGTGAGGGGAGCGCCGGGCGGCAGCTAAAAGCGTCCCCCGGCGCCGGCTTGCCCAGTACTGGCGATTGCGACGGACCCGGCGCGAATGCGCTTCAATCCATCCAAAAGAAGGGTTTCGTCCGTCGTAGCTCTTTTGGGTACCCGTCGGGGAAAACGTTTGTCGTGCAGCACATTCATGTGCGTAGGGACAACCGTCGAATCGACGTGGATGCCGCAGCTGCTGCTGGCTCCACGTCCCCCGACGAATTTTCAGCTCCCACCCTCACCGCCCTTTATCTTTTTACTTTGAAACCTTCGGGTCGTCGCTCGCTGGCGGGCAGCGGGCCGGGGCAGCTAAAAGCGTCCCCCGGCGCCGGCTTGCCTAGTACTGGCGATTGCGACGGACCGGGCGCGAATGCCCTTCAATCCATCCAAAAGAAGGGTTTCGTCCGTCGTAGCTCTTTTGGGTACCCGTCGGGGAAAACGGTTGTCCATGCTGCCTCGTGTATCTGTGCAGCCTTTTCGCGAGAAGGTCATGTCTTTCAGCGAGAAGGGCTACAGCGAGCGATTCTGAGTGATTTCCCATTCGTGCTCATCATCCGTGGCTACACAGCTACGGCCGTTGCGGAGTTTTTTTTGCACGACATTTTTCTTCCAGGTCGTAAGCGCACAATATCCAGCCTACGGCGGTCCAGACGAGTGGTGTAAGGACGCGCCCCCAGGAAACTTCGTGTCTTGCATCTTGCATGTCCGGCTCAGGGTTTCGACCTTTTCTTGGATGGCTTGCGGCGCCTTAGCAGATCTTAACATCAGACACACGCAGCTTGAAACTGTTGAGAAGCTTGTCAGAACAACGAAACCGGGAGTGGAGCAATCTAGAGGTGCCGCACAGTTCATCTTGTGGGTGCTGGTCTGGGCAACTTGGGCAAAATGACAATTTCATGTTCCTTGCGATAATGCGCTGTTTCAGAGCACAGTCTCAAGCACATCAAGCACTGAGGTGGCTTCCTCGCGCAACATTATGCGTGTAAGCACCGAAGCCGCGTCAGGCCTGCCCAGCCAGCTTACTCTGCGGGCTGCTTGATGCTGAAGGAATAGGTTGCCAGGTGCTTGTACGAGAAATTGGAGTGATTCTAATTGAATTCAGCCAGCGGAAGCAATCAAGGGTGCTGAGGCAAATCTTGGAATTCGAGCTGCCGCATGACGCGAAAGGTCTCTGGTTCTGTGCAACTCCTTCGCATCAACAAATGCCTTCGCACTTAGAGCTGGTACGTGGTCTTCTCGGAGAGGAATCTTGGGGCTCAGGGCTCAGGGTGGCATTCTAAATGCATTCGGATTTGTCAGGTGGGGAAGCCTCATCTCCATCATGCCGACGGCGTTCCTGCGTCAGGCTGAATCACAGACTGCGGTCTGTGAACAAGACAGGAGTCGAGTGAACATGATGGCAGACACGTAGACCATGCGCCTTAGCTTAGCGATACTATGTTAGAGAAAGGAAAGGAGCTTTGGTGCGCTACATCCGGAATGAATACTACGTGCTTATGGCACAAGGGCCTTCGGGCTTATATAGTGAGGATGCTGAGAGCAGAAGCTACCTCGACCCATTGAACGCGCCTCGCGAAGAGTCCAAAACTGGCATGGATCGGCACGTCTGGCCCGTAATCGCAGTAGGCGCGCAGTGGCACAAAGCACAAGGTAGTTGCTAGAGTCGACTCTCAAGGTTCACGTATGAACCAGCCATGTGCCTGCCCGGAGCTCGCGGCAGTTGATCTTTGTGACTGCCAGCCACTCGAGGAATGTCTGCGGCTTCTCCTTACGCGGTTGCGTGAGTCTCGCAGGAGAAAGACGCGGGATAGTCCCTGGCAAGCAGTGTTGTCAAAAGCCGCGAATCTTGCGTTCCCAACGATCAAGTATCTCAGATCCAGCAGAAATCACCCCCATTGCATTCTTGGCCCTACTGCTGCAAGGCCTATCTGGCATATTCTGGCCTCGATGCCAGTGCACTATTGCATGTAAGCTCACGTTTGCATTGAGTCGGACAACCCCCTCACGGCGGGCATGGACCGGCGCAGGGCAAAAGGTAGGACAGGGAACGTGGTGAACACCGGGTGTGCATGTCGCAGCTGAGCGCAGTACGAGGCCTTTTTACGCAAGTTAGGTCCGGAACGTGTAAGCCCGTGATTCGGGACACGACCGGCACGGCGCACCTGAAAGAATCACTGTGACAGCCCACTATCTATGGGGAGGTTAAGGCTAAGGGTTTCCGCGAACCCTGCAGCAGACCCTCCAGGCTTAAGGCTACATTATTTCAACTGCGTCCGACAGCTTACGCTTGCATGGTTGCGGCTGGTGCTGGACACATGCTGGACCCTCCCTGTACATTCCGTTTGGTTCGCCATTCCCCACATGTTTCTAAGCCTTTCTGCGATCCGTCTGGGGGCAAGTCGCTTGTAGGGTCCAACTCATGCCTATCACCTCATCCTTCTGTTGATTGCAGGCTATGCAAGACACATTGCCACAGGCACGCCCCCGTTCGGCTTCTGTTCAGGGCTGCGCGCCTCGTCTTGTGTGCAGGCTGGGTTCATGGAAATACGATGCAAGCAAGCAGTCGATTGGGTCGGGCAACAGGCCAGGAGTGTTCAGCCTCCCACCATAAGCGCGAGATGCCTTTGTCGTTTCCAAGTGCTTCTTATTTTGGCTTCAGTTGAACGACCTCAGCGGCGAAGACTTGGCCAGCAGGTCCCGTCCTGTCAGGGTGCTGTGACGTGTGGCTGTATGTAGCTGTCGTGCCCGGTTGTCTGCAAGCAGGCTGAACCTGAACGTAAACGGCAGCCACGTCGGTCCTCTGCAGCTGGAGAGCCATGAGGCTGTCTTATGGGTTTCCGAAACTGTGGCGCCTGTATCTCCCTAGGACAAGCTCCTACAAGAATTTACTTTCATCGATCCCTCGCCTCGAATCACAAGTTTATTGAGCGGATAGACGCTTCAGCACGATGCAGCACAACCATCACTTGCTCAGATAACGATTCTCGAGTCCAGCGGTGACACGATGGTGCCTGAAGAGCTGCGACGACAGCTCAAGCTATTGTGCCCTCTGCTGCTTTTCGCGATTGAGTAGGAGCAGCTGCATCAACATGTGCGACCTGCCTTGTTTGCGTGCTGCCCATTCTTGCATCATGATGTGCGGCTGCATTGTGGAGCTGCTCCCCTGCTTCGTTGGTGTGCCACTCGGCAACATCCCCTCGAGACGGGAAAGCCCCTCCTATGCTTTGCAAGTCATACAAGACGCATCGTTCCCGCTTTGCCGGGCATCGCACAATTTGTTCTGATCAGTGTGCCCCGATTTGAAGATTCAGCGTGCCCACCCGCCAGATGCATTACAGCAGGTACAAGGGTGCCAGCTTCGCAGAGCTGAAGTCCAGAGGTGATTTTCCATACTTGTCCAGACCAGACGAGGCGGACTGGGACTGGATGGGACTGGGATGGCCTTCACCACTGCATACATGTTCTGGCTGGAGGTGACCCTTTTCATAGAGGTCCACATGCGTCGATTTGGTGCATTCGCACAAGGTCGCTTCGGCCCGAGGCAGCTTAGTATCGGAAAACCGCCTTCCACCAGGTCCATCCGTGGCCCAAGCGGATGATGTGACGACGAATAAAGGGGCGGACATTCTTCGAGACCCAGGCCAGCAATAGTTAGGTTGTCATCTGAGCAACATGCAACATGGCGTGTCGGCGGCGTTTTCGCAATGGGCACCGGCATCCGTTTGAAACAGGAAGCAAAGTATCCAAAGTTGAGCCTAGGGCGGCTATGCGGAGGAGTCGTGTCAACGTACGATGGCACACTACCTCCATTGCTAGGAAGAGTGTGGAACGTCCTTTCAATCGCCGGCAAGACAACGCCTTGAGATGACACTGGTTGTGATTGAGGCTGTTGGCAGGTGCATTGTTCTCCAGGTTTTCGAGACCTAACTTTCCAGATGACTTGCTGGCACCGTGCTGCTGTGCAGTGTGCAGTTCGGGGAAAGTCCTATGGCACTCCTCTGTCTTTTCAGTTCGAGGATTGCTGTCACAACGATCTCATGCAAAATTGATTTCTTGGCGGGAAATGGATTTTTTATCTTTATGAGTTCGGGAGACCTGACCAGTCTCTTTTGCCCCGGAGAACAGAACAGAAAAGAGAGAAACGAGAAACGTGAACAGAAGAGAGAGAGTGAGAGAGAGAGCGTGCCGACATCGGGCGGCCCCCATGGGCGGGGGCTTGCCCCTCTAGCCTGGCGAAAGAAAGAGAGTGAACGCCGTGAGTGGTTCAAGGCCTGAGCCCCCTGGTCATCCTGGTCGACAGAAGAGAAAGGCCTCAACCTGACAGCGAGAGGGGGAGGGAACGTGCTCTCTCTCGTCCATACCTGCGACCGCCTCTACCTCCTTGCCGCCCTTTGCGACTTCAACTGTGCCGCTCTGTGCCGTGAGATCGGGGAGTTCAGAGCACACCGGCCAGTCTGCGCCGACCCTCGGAGACTTTGCCGCCCGCGAGCACTACAGCATCGGCGAACCTACAGGCCTTCAGGCATGCGAGAAGCGACCGGTGCCGGCCCGTTACCACCGAGAAACCCGGACCAGGGGGACCCTGCCCATGACGACGACGACCCACGAAAACCGCGCCGGGGGAGCAGCAGGGCACCTGCCTCAAGCTGAGAGCCAGCCTTCGACAGTCCAAGATGCAAGAGCAGGACCCATACTAGCTTACTAGCCCAACTGCTTGGGCAACAACAGCCACCGCACACTGGCGGGGCCTCCTCCACGCCAGCAGCTCACGCCGCTCCACAGACTCCACAACAGTGGAGCCCACCGGAACACACACCGCCACACACCACGTGGAGCCAACCAACAGCACCACAAGCCCCAGCTCAACAGCCCCCTCCGCAACACCACTGGCAGCAGCAAGCACAGCGACCACAACAGTACGACCCAGCTACCGACCTCTGGCCGCAACCTTACCACAGCAACCCCGCCCAGGACAGTACGCCACCAGCCACCGGGGGAACTCCTCCACACCAACAGCAACAGCCACATGCTGGGCCCCATCGCACGGGAGTCCTATACTGCTCACAAGACCCCCACAGAATCCAGCACAACAAGTGGCCCAAGGCCTTGCACAGATGTTCCAACAGTAACAGCAGCAGCAGCAGCAGCAGCAAAGCGGGCAACAAGCTCCCTACGCGGCAGCACAACTGGCACAGGATCACGGATTTGCCTACTACGATGCGTGGGGGAATCTGCGTGACCAGCAAGGCCAAGTCATAGAGCCACCTCCGCAACAGCTGCTCTACACCGACTCCCACCTGCCAGGCACACCCATCCCGCCACATGGCCCCCACGGCGTAGCCTACGCCACCACTTACAACCCTGACACGGACTCGTGGGCACCCTACAACCCCACAGCCACAGACATGCCTACGGCGCCTCAACAGGGGACTGACCACACCACCCACGACATCGCACCACCTCCATGGCAGACAGCGAACCTGAGCCCCTGCAGTCGGCGACACCAACGCAGCAGCGCAGACGCAGGCGCCAGCCCGACGCACCTGCGGGGGAACGCTCCAGCACATGTTCTCCAGCGGCGCAGAGGGCAGAGACTTTTCGCACTTCACTCTGCTCCACGGTCAATGTTGGCTCGTGGAGGCTCAACATCATTCCCGCCTCGGGGCCTAGCTGCTTGCGCCCGGCTGCTTGTGCACCAGGTGAGATCTCCCCCTTACCCGCCTGTTGGCTCCCTTCATCGTGGTGCTCGTTGAAGAGGTAAAGCATCCCTCTCCTCCGAGAGTTCATGAAAGTGAGCGCGGAGGGACGACATCTGTTGCTTGCCGTAGGTGTTGGGGTGGTTCCGGAGGCTGTGGGCCTCCCTGAGCAGTCAGTGTGTGTGTGTGTGTGTGTGTGTGTGTGGCGAGCTCGTTTCGGCTCGTTCACCGCTCGTTGGGTCTGTCATCTTCCAGTGCATTGCCCAGGGCAAGCAGGGCGTTCTCCACAACTCCGCGTAGGTCCTAGGTACAGCCCAGGGTGTCGAGTCTGTCGTTATCCAGCAGCCCAGGCGAAAATGTACCTGTACCCAAAGCGCAACAACCGATAACACAGACAGAGAACAGATCCAATCACAAGTTCTGCACCACCACATGTGTGGAGAGCTGGAAGGAGAAGCTTGGGCGGATGCTGCAAAGCCCCAGCGTCAGGACACAATGGCATAGCGTGGGACGTGGGATCCTATAATTGTAGTTTCAGTCACAAACCAGGAATGGAAGAACCCCTTTGAGGACGCCTTGCTGTGGAATCTTGCTTCGTGCAACCCTGTCTTCACAAATCAGCCCAGTCCTTCTGACAGGATGACGATCTGCTGTAGCGCTTTCCGTCAGCCACGTGCAGGACCAGCCCTGCAGTGTACATAAACATGTCAGGCTGCGGCGAAAGTGTGAGACACGGCGCTCGTTCACTTCACAAGAATGAAGATGAGATAAGATGAGAGTTCGTGCGATGTTGGCATGTATTCCCGAAGCTTGCTCAGACTCAGTCGTAGCTTCGCATGTCGCCAGCATAAGTACAATCGACCTGCCAAGGAGATTCGTAATCATGCGCTGCTCTTGCAGGACACTTTCCCCCAAGCCAGTCTGCACATATTAACCTAGGCCAAATTTACGAAGTCCATGACCCGTCCAAGCTCCGCTACGATGGTATGACGCATCGATGGATGTCAGCCACAGTGCCTGCCTCGGTCTTCTCAAATCTGATGTTTTCGTCCGTGGCTGAATGTGGCTGAATGAGACATGGGCTACTACCACGACGAAGGCTGGCATGCTGGAAGCTTCGCTGCACAAAGTCTGCCGGTACAAAGTCACATGCAGCTCGAACTTGCCGGTCCTGTTTCACAGGACATGCGTGGCACGAGGATGCAACGTGGGCATGGCATGAAGGCCAGTCGCATGTTGACGATTTCATCCACAGTTCGCCAAAGTGGAAGTGGGCGAGCACTGAAGCATGTTTGATCAATCAAGTCAGTTTAATGAAACCAGCGAGTTGACACATGAAGACGCTGCGTAGTCGTTACCAGTGCTTCGAGATTACACGGCTTTGTGCACCTTTCGGCCGAAACGATAGTTTTTTTTGTCACTGCTTCCCGACAGTCTCACGCCCGACACACAGATTCAGTTCAATTGGAGGAGAACAGCAATCCATAGGATTTTGTCCTGCAGTGCGGCATGTTCCTTCTCATGCCTGCCACAAAACGTTCAGCTAGAAGAGCATCAAACGCTTGCAGAAACCTAGGGTGTTGATAGACGCTGCAGCCCAGGCATGTTAGACTGCAACATCTCGTTGGAATCCGTTTGACCATTTGACGGGTGCCGTTACTTCACCCAGGCCTTCCATTCATAGTCGCAAATCTTTACCGTGCGCCGAGGTTGCTGAAACTGGCGTCGGATAGTTTAATTCATAGCTTCGCAGAAATGCAGCATGCTTTCGAGGCTCCGTAGCAACTTTTGCTCCTTGAAATGTGCAGGTCGGCCTTCCATTTATTTGGCATTTTTATTGAGGACAGCCGCAGCTAGGAGTGTTTATGCTGGAGGCTGGCATGTAGCGGTGTATCTGGAACGTTTTCTCCCCGACATTCACCATATGTCCAGCTCGCCGCAAGGGGTGGGGTTTGTGGTGGTGGCTGCAAGTTTGCAGTCGCAGACAGGATGGTTGCTTTGTCGAAGCAGTGCTCTTTTTTGCAGCATGCCAAGCCAAACTGCATGTGTGCTTCGGAAGGACTGGAATGCAACAGCTTTGCACAGATCCCGCCACTCCCTGCACTGAAACCCCTATGTTCCGACTCTTTCACCTTGCCCGGACATTGCATTTTGCAATCTTGCTGATGTATTCGTGCGTGACGCAGCACCTTCGAATCGCGGTTTGCAGTCATGACAAGCTGAAGGACTTGCCATCTGGATCTCAGAAGCATTTCTTGGAAATGCAAGGGGGTGGCAGAGCATGGCTTCAAAAGCTCCGTCAGGAGCAGCGTGGTAAATTGGCACCAGATGGCACGACTCAGTGTGACTCGCATCTGGCCTCCGATACCTGGTGCAAACAGTATGCACTTAGCGCAGGTGTTTGGCACGCTGGATGGTCTGATGCTGCTTGCCCGGCACCGAGAGGGCAAGCCTCGACTCGAGGCACCAAGAAATGAGCATTTAAGTTTGACGGTGCATTTCTTCGCAGGAGGTTGCAGCACGCCAGCTTTTGCGTCGTTTGTACAGTGTTGTTCCAGCACGAGGTTTTGCGCAGCCGCGAATGTGTGTTCCAGGTCACGGTAGGTCACGTCTTGATAGAGTCAGGTCGATTCCGATTTCAATGAGAATCCTCGGGACTTTGAAGAGCTAGTTGGGATGATGGTTTCTACAGGTTCGGTCGCCTCACCCTCAGCATGTTCCATGAAGCATTTTTTTAAACACTTAGTCTGAGTTTGCTCCATAGCCTTCCGTCAGCCCCTCGCCAAAGTTCCTCGCTGGGGCCGATGCCTTGCTTGGCGGAGTCATTGGGCGATGCCAACGCAGACTCTCTGATAGGTGCCGTTGACTACTTGGGTTTTTCAGATCTGGCTTCTTGCCTTGCCTGCTCACAGCGGCTCCTCAGTCACGGAGCATCCCCCTTACTTTGGGACAGTG